GAGGGAGTCGGGGTGGGGATTGAGGGATAAAGGGGAGATACTGGGGCGGGGAGGGGCTGAGGGAGGGACGGGAGTCGGCCCTGAGGTGTGGGGGAAGGCGGGGGTCGGCCCTGGGTGGGGAGGGTTAGGGGGGGCCGTTGCCCAGGTTTGAGGCGTTGGGTGGGATCAAATCTTAGTAGGCTTCTGGAGGAGGAGGAGAAAATGTTTCTCAGCCTTCCTAGCTCTAAACATGAGTCTGGCGTGGAGCTTTCCCCCTGCACGTGTGGCTTCTGCTGGGCTCTGCTAGGAACATGAATAAATCCCTGTGGTTTGTGATAAAGACGTTTTCCATCTGCAGTGTGATAATATAGGGAGATACTAATAAAAAAAAATCAGCCTGGAACAGCTTTGCCGAGGGTGTACCTTGCTTCTTACAAGGATTTTGGTTTTGATATTACAGTCTTCTGTCAGAAAGTACATGACCCATGATATTGGTCTCCTCTTTTGAACTGTTTAACTTTCCTAGAGACCTTGGATTCAGGCACTGCTTTGGTTTCCAGGAAGAATTTCAGTTTCACATAATGTGCTGCAGTTCTTGGTCTGGAGGTGAAAACCCAAGCAGTTTTCGACATACCTGAGCATAATATTTGATGTATTTAATCTGAAGTAGCACCATTATTCAATTTAAAATTGTCTCTTGGTTTTGAGACTGAGCAGTGTGTTATTATAAAGCTTTATAGAAGTAAATGTGGATTCTGGGCTGTTTTTAGACTTTTAGGAAACCACTCTCCATGGAAGTGTGTCCAATTATTTCCAGAGGCAGGTGGTCAAGGAGCTTGATCCTGCTTAATCTTACTTGTGTGATAAGGATCTGTGCAGGGATGAGTTTTACCAGTGGGACAAACACTGCAAAGTCAAGCACTTCTGGGTGTGATTGTAGAGGCTGATAGAGTTCAGTGGGGAAAAGCAAACTGGGAAACCTTTAAATAAAGACCCCAGTGAAAATGCAGAGCTCTTTTAATGTTTAGAGTCTTGCATAGGGGTAGGGAGGGGGAATGCAAACTGTCTGGACTCTGTATTGGAGCATTTTTAGACTTATTTTTAAATTCAGGTACTGAGAATTATGAGATTCTGCACCACATATCTTTCTGGAGATGTGTCTGAATTTGGGATTGTGAGGAGAGGAGTCAGATGCTTTTCATCCTCTTTTCTCATAGATTTGGGTTGAATTTGGAAGAACAGGGTAGAGGTGAGGGACTAGTGGAATGTTCCCTGTCCAGAGGGGTTGGGATAAGATGAGCTTCAAGGTCACTTCCAACCCAAACCATTCTGGGATTCTGACTCCAGACCTGATTCAGAATCCAGTGGAAACGTCAGACGCCCACAAACTCAAATGTGCTTTGGCTCAGGCAAATCTCAGTGCTCTTTTCCCCCCAGATTTTAAGCTGGCATGTGATGCTAATACTGGAGGAATGCACTGCAGGATTTCTTGGCTACACTTGGAATTCCAAGCTCTGCCTTTAACCTGCACAACTCTGAATGTTTTGGAGCCGCAAGTTTGAGCCACTATCTCTGTCCTCTGTCACTCTGCCCTCCATGAGATGCTCAGTGGGAATGGGATGTCTGTGGAGAACCTTCTTCTCCCAGGCCCTGAGAATCTGGAATCAGCCCCTCAACCTGGGCCCTTTGTGCCTCACTGCCAAACTTTCATCGCATTTGCAAATCCTGCCAGGAAATCTGTGAGCTGAGCTGGGCGTATTTATTTTTGTGTGTTTTGTGTCTTTTTTTACATGACTTTTGGAGTTAGGAGATGAGGCACCTTTGTGTGTTGGCTGTACCAGCCTTTATCCATAAGAGAATAAAGCTGGAAGCAAACAAATAATGGGACAAAAAACTTACATTTTAGTCCAGTCAGGAACGTGACTGAAAGTTCTGGCTCTGTTTTAAACAGTAACAAATACAAACTGTGAGGAAATTATCCCATTTATAATGTGTGTAGAGACACACATAGTGCAAACACTCCCATTCCTGGATTCCCAGTCTAAAATTCTAACAGAGGTGCAGGCCCAGCAATGTCACCTGTGCAAACAGCTGTACAGAAAATATGAATTGCTTTTTATTTTTCTGTCACTTTGTTTGAATCTGGTAGAAAGAATCCATTGACTCCCAGGAATCCATTTACCACAGCATGACAGCCACAGAGAGAGATGATTTTAACTGCTTTTAAAGAAGGAAAAAAGGAGGATTTTCCAGTTAGCCCATAGATGTCAGGGTCGTGATACTACTCATGATTATAAAAACAGGCAAGAAAATGTTTTGCTGATAAAAGTGGTGATATTTCATTGCCTTTTTAAATTACCAATAGTTTAAAAGCTACAAAAATAGAACTTATTTTTCCCTTCATTTCTTTCTATTTACTTCAATTTATAGCTTCATTTGTCAAAGTTCTGGTCTGGTGAGAACTTAATTTCATGTGAGTGTGTTACATTTGTGAATAAACCAACTGAATTCCTCACTCCTTCACCAGCTTGGCTTTACATGTTTTTTTAAACTTTACTAAAAGAAAGGCAAAGTGTGATGTAATTCCTTAATAATTAAAGCTTTGTGAATTTAAAACAAAACTCTCTGTGATATTTTAAATTTAATATTTGGGGCTTAGTCGGTTTAACTATTTAAATATAGTTTAAAGCAGGTTTTTGAGGAATGTATGTAAATAGCCTTCTTGAGGGCTGTTAATCCAGACAGTTACAGTTCTGTGTTAACATTATTGTGAGAAGAGGTAGAAAATGAAATTATTAATCTCCCTTTTTCCCACTTTGTAGAGGGAAGTATAGAACACAAGCTTAACAGATAAATGACTTACAAAAAGGCTGTTTTTAGTACAGTGCACGGCCAAACAAGTAGTATTTTTCATCTTCATTGACAAAAACTTGAATTTAAAAGCTCCAGTTTGACCTGAGCATGGCTGTGCTGCCAGGTGCCCAGACTTGGGAGGCTGGAGATGCAAAATCCCTCCTCGGAGCAAAGGAACCCTCCTGCAGAGGTGGCCACGCTCCCGCTCAGACATTTGTCTCTAATCCCACATTTTAAAGCTGACCTTTCTGTTCTGTTCTCCCTCAAAGCTCCCGTGCCTCGTTAAATGTTTGTCACTCCAGACAGGAGGTGGCTGCATCTCAATGATGCTCAAGTGCCCCCTACATCACCTGCTCACCGGCTCATTAAGCTTGCAAAGCCTTTGGGATTTGGATATACAAACCCTTCCATTCAGGTGGGGATGCCCAGTCCCTGCTGCTTCCTGTTTGTGTTTAGCTAGACAAAAAGTAGGTGAGAACTTGCCCCAGAGCTGCTACACCTGTGCAGGGGTTGTTGGGGCAGGTTTCTTACCAAAATAAAAACTTGTGTTCCTGCAGGGCTTCTCTGCTTCACTGTCCAACTCGAGTCATTTTCAGATTTTCTAGCCAAGTTTTGTCAGGAGGACTGAGCTTGGAAGAAGCTGATTTGCTGGGGTTTTGGGGGAAATAGGTGATTGCAAGGAAAAAAAGAGATTTTGCATGTGTTCTGAATCGGAGAGAAGAGCTTTGCCATCCACTCAACCCTTAGGGTCAGAAAAACTGTCTGAAGGAAATCTGACCCTTAATACCCTGACATGGGGAAATCTCAACACACAGCTGTGGGACACAGATTAATGGGAAATCATGTTTTATTATGGTGTGTAAGGAAATGTGTTTAAAAACAAGGGGGGAAAGGCAGTTTGTAAACTCTGTTCACAGAATCACAGAGGTTAGAAAAGACCTCCACGATCGAGTCCAACCTGTGACTGACCTCACCTCGTCACTGAGTGCCACATCCAGTCATTCCTTTGACACCTCCAGTGATGGGGAATTCAAACCCCCCCCTGGGAAGCCCCTCCCAATGCCTGACCACCCTTTCCTTGAAGAAATTCCTCCTGATGTCAAACCTAAACCTCCCCTGGCACAATTTCCTCTCATCCTGTCCCTTTTCCCTGGGAGAAGAGCCTGACTCCCGCACCCCCAGCTGCCCCCTCCTGTCAGGGAGTGCAGAGCCAGAACGTCCCCCTGAGCCTCCTTTTCTCCAGGCTGAGCCCCTTTCCCAGCTCCCTCAGCCCCTCCTGGTGCTCCAGACCCTTCCCCAGCTCCGTTCCGTTCCCTGGACATGCTCCAGCCCCAATGTCCTTGCAGTGAGGGGCCCAGAGCTGGACACAGGATTTGAGGTGTGGCGTCACCAGTGCCCAGCACACAGGGAAGGGTCATGTTCTGAAGGGTCCTGAGTAACTTCTCCTCCTTCTTCCAGTACTGCCTGTCAGGACATCCAACCTTGCCATGCAACGTGCTCAAGTTCAAATCCACCACCATCATGCTGGACTGTGGGCTGGATATGACGTCTACCCTCAATTTCCTCCCACTGCCTCTGGTCCAGAGGTGAGTTCTGTGGCCTGTCAGCACTTAGTCTGCATCTTCTTGGGTTGCAGTTGGAGTGCTCTGCCTGAAATGGTGTATTGGAAGGAGGGAGGGGATGGGTACAAATGAACAGCATCATCTGATATCATAAATAGACTTTGTTCACTTAAAAATTCTCTTTATCAAAATAACGTCCTTTGGCTCAGTAGACGGAAGACATTTTATGGATTTATTGATTGGTTTTTCTAGATAATTTATTCTAAGCTTCAGTAAAGTATTGCTGCAACTGCTCAGCACAAGTGAGGTCACATATCTGTCATCTTTCTGGCTTCTTCATGCAAGATGAGATAAATGGGTAACTGAGATGGAGTGTGTGGGCCCAGCAAGTCCTGTTTAACCACCATCTTCTTAGGCTGTTCTTTAGAGCACAGACTAAGAAAAACAGCAGTTAGCAGCCCTTGTTAGTTGCCTGCATGGCATAATTGTTCCCTTTTAAAAGTTAAATAAATAGAAGGGCAATGCAGCTGGGCATGGGATTGGAGCAGCAGAGAACCAAAAACAGAATCTAGAAGAGAATCCTGAGATCTCCTTTCTATGCCCTGCTACAAAGTTGTGTTTTCCCAGGTTTTTAGACGAAATTGGATATTCAGTTAGGGTGACATGTTTTGTGTAAATGGAATAAATGACAAAAATTAGCAGTTGGAAAGGTGGGAATGAGTCACTCTCAGTGATGGGAAGCAGTAGGAGTTTTCTCAAAAGCTGTTTAGTAACTTTGATCCACAAGGAAACAAGTGAGGAACATTCTGGGTTCAGGGAAGGCTTGGTTAAGAGGAGGAAAATACAATTGGAAAAGGGAGTTTCCTAAGAGACCTAGTGAAGTTAAAGCAGTTTGTCCAGCACTTCCTATGATTTGTTATTTCATGGAGAGAAGAGGAAAGGAATAGACAATGTGTGCCTTGTTCTGCAAGAACGTGGAGTTCAGGATCTGCTGTAGAGAGGCAACAGATGCCCTCAGAGGGATCAGTGTGAAAGTCAGTTTTTGTCCCTTTCCATAATGCAACTGCTGCCTGCAACAACTGGTGCAGTAATAGATTTTGAACAGATCCAGCAAATTTTGGAAATCCAGGTACAGACAGAATTTCTTTGCATTTGCTTTTTCCCACCCCCCCCGAAAAAAAAGCAAATTGAGAGAGGAACAAGTAGCAAAATGAGGTGATTGAACAAAGGCTTAGGAGGTTCTTTAGCGTGGCAGGAATCAGCCTTCCCCTGGGATGTGGCAGCTTTGTCTGCTGATAGCAGACCCTGGGAATGAACAGCCAAATTGCAGGTCACAACCTGGAATTCCCCAAGCACCTCCAGAATGTCGGCACTAAAATGACTCAAACTCAATAAGAGAGGATGTCAGATTTGACCCCTGATGGCCCAGTGGAATTGGAGCAAACACTTGGATTTAAATCCAATCAATCTTGTCGGTGAGGTGACTGAACACCCCTTAGAGCAAGGATTGGCCTGAGCACATGGACTTGGGCAAGTAATTGATCTCCTCTGCAAACCAGGTGTCCTGCAGAGAGTTGTGGAAATAAGTCAGAAATGCGAGGAGGAATGTGGCTGCCACTGCAAAGTCTTTATCTCTGTAGTACTCACAGTTGTAGCATTAGAGATTAGGAGTCCATTACCATGATATCCAAACACCTCTGAAACTCAAATGTGTGTTATTGACATGACGTGGGGTGACAGAGAGCTGACTTTGTCATCAGATGCCAGGTGAGGTGACAGGAAAGCCTGACTGCCTGAGGAATTTGAGCACAGGTCTGTCAGATCTGGGGTTCTCACCAGTTGTGTCCTCTCAGAACCAGATGTGCTTATTGGAGTTGGATGTGAATGAGACCTTAACCTGAGAGGAGCCATGCTTCTCCCTGGTGTCTTTAACCAGAGATCCCAGCAGGATCCATGAACCCCCTGGATTCTGCAAATCTCAGTATGTGGGCTGCAAAGCTGCCCAAATGTGTGATATTACAGAGGATCTTTGCTACACACCTCAGTCCTGTGTCGAACTTGGCATGGGACCCTCCTTGAGCAAATATTTTGAGAGCCTGTGCTTTAATCTGTAAGAGAGGAAAGTGCTGCAGCGTTTTAATGCAGTGTGGCATTAAAGGGACTGGGTATTTTTCAGAGTTCTCTTCAAAGAAATGCCAATGCAAAGGTATTTAGATTCCCCCTTGCCCTGGAAATGGCATTCCCTGTTCTCACCAGCCCATGGAGCATGTGCAGAGCACCTGCAGCTGCCCAACTCTTTATGCTCCTGTACTTTAAAGGAGGTTTGTCAACTGGAGTTTTCTCCCCTGAACCAAAGTCAAATGCAAAACGGTGAAATGAACATGTGGGAAGCTCTTAACCTTTCCTGTCTAGCCATGACACACTTGCTCACATTATTTATGGGACAGTTCCAGCTATTTTGGATTAATCAATCACTGTATTACAATGTCAAAACTATGTCAGGAGGAGCTGTGTTGCTTCTTGGCTTCAAGGTAAAGAGTCCTTTCTGTCCTGTGTTGCTTGTTCTTTCAGCCACACACAAGACACACCTGCTCATTTTGCCTGCCCTGACTCTTCACTCCTCAGTGGATGCCAGTTTAGTACTCATAGTTTAGTGCTCTTCCATCATGAATAAAGCAAAACTCTTGCTAGGTTAAATTATTTGGAGTAGGACAAATAAAGTTTATTCTGCTCTGCCTCAAACTGCTGAAACCACAGATAGATCCAAGGATTTGCAAGGCACAAGGCACAGACCTGACCTTGTGCTGATGTTGAGACACTGGACTGCAGCCCTCCAGGTGGCCCTTCCAGCCAAGGTTCCTGTCCTCTCCTCCTGTATCTGTCAGTTGTTGCATATCAGAGTGGTTTGTTCTTGCTTTTCCCATAACTCTTTTAGACTCACTGCACCAATTCTACTCAGCTCCCTCAGTCTCCAAATTACTGCTCCTAAATTGTGCTTTTGAACAATTCACTGGGGAGCACATTTAGCCACTTCATCTTTTCTATCATCAGACTTCTTCAGCCTTGCCCTTTATCCTCAGAAGGGAATTGCCCTTCTCTGGCACAGCCTCTCCATGACAGATCCTTCTGCTCTCACCTCTTACCTTCTGTCTTCACTCCTTGACTCTTGGATTTCCCCTTTTTCCTTCCTTGTGACTTACTTGGGTGTCAGAATTTGTTCTTTTATACTGCTGTTAGTCTCAACACAGCATTCCTCTAAGCCCTTGAATCACTTCCTATTTTCAAGATGTTGAATTTGAAAGCCCTTTTAGGATATAAACATGCCTGTCTGTAGATATTAGTGCACAGTGCTTGCAAAATACATTGCAACCAAGTTCTGTGTCCAAATCTGAAGTTGTTTCAGGGTTTGGTTTCAGGTGGGTTTAATTATCTTGTTTACTCAATTTTCTTTTAAATTTGTGTAAGTAAACTTCAGTCTGGGCAGAGAGTGGGTTTAGAGCTAAGTTATAGGCTCACACAAAAATCAAATGTCACTGTGAAATATAAGTCTGTCAGTTATGGTGGCAAGAAATGGTGCAGCCATTACTGCTGTAAACTCAGAATTACTATGTCTACCTTTAAATTCCTTTATTAACATTTGAAACAGTGAAAAAAGGGGCTCTGCTGTTGCTTAGAACCTGCAGTTCACTGCCCAGCCTCCTTGCCTCTGTGTCCTGTACAGCTGTTGGTGTGGGTCTTCAGGGTGACACCCAGGCAGGAAAAACCATGGTTTATGTGGATATAAAATGCCAACATGTGTCTATAAATGACTTAGTCCAGAGCATCAGTCTTTTCCTGCCACTCCTAATGGGAATATTTGTCTGTTGCCCTCTGTCCCAAAACAGTTTTATGGTGCTTTTGTGTTGTTTCGAGTTGTTTTTGAGCTCAGAGTTTGTTGCTTCCCTAACTTCTGTTTATTCATCCAGTTTCACCACAGGGAACTCAGCAGCAGTGAGCCTTTTTAAAATCCTCACCATGAATGACTAAAAACTCCCTGCATGCCTCGTCCTCTTATTTCTTTTTACTTATAAGTGTCATCATCATGATTTGTAAAAGTCATTTTGGTGAACACTTAACCACAGTGAAACTGTCTGTCTGTTTTATTGGGACTGTTACTTCCCTTAGACAGGAATGGTGTTCTCTGCCTGTATGACTCCAAGTAGAAGGTCTGTGCTTAGCCACTGATAGTAATTCAGTTCATATTGCAATAATTTTTCTTCTTTCTTTCCACAGCCCCAGGCTGTCCAAACTCCCCGGTTGGGTTTTGAAAGATGGAAGCACATTTCTAGACAAGGTACTGGGGTGATGGTTGGAATTTTTTTGCCATGCAAAAAGCCACCTGACAGGTTAGGGTCTGGTGCTGCAGGAGCAGCGTTCCACGCTGACTCATCCCAAAGGTTTCTCTGTGTACCTTTACCAGCCAGGATGTCCTTGCAGAGCAGAACATTTTGAAACAAAATGCTAATAGCAACTCTCAGCCTTCAGGGGTAGCCTAGATTATAAAAAAAAATCCACTTAAAATGCACAAGTCATCAGTGTGAATATTTTTGTATTTCATGGAGCTCCATAAATAATAGTGCTTCGCCTTCTTAGAGTGCCTTTTATTCCACAGTCTCACTTTTCTGACACTGAGGCTTCAGAGCATGCCTATAAATGAGGTTGGTTTCGTACCCTTTTTCAGGCAGAACTATGAGAAAGGCAATGGTTTGCCTATGGGAGGTCTCTCAGAGAGGAAAATCGTGGCTTTGGCCTCTGAAATCAACATGTGTTCTGCTGCTGGACATAGCAGGGAGGATATTATCTCCAGCCTCCTGATTCTAAGACATAGAACTTCCTCAGCAACATGAGAGACACAGAATTGCTCTTTTCCCCCCTCTTTTCATTCCATCGGTTTTGGAGATACAGAATTTATCTGAGGCTTCAACCAAAACTTGGCACTGCAGCGGCCAGCTTGATCTGCCATGAGGGAACAATGAACACAAAAATATGTCAGATGTTAGTAAAATAGGCAGATACATTTCAAATGTGGGCAGTAATAGGTACCAGTGGAGAAAATGCTTAATAGACTGTTCTCTGACTATGGGAACATTAAAGGAAACAGTGATAATAGTTGCTTTTGTAGGGGACTTTGAGGTGGACAAAATGGATTGATCTGATTTTTACAGACAAGGGAGCTGAAGATCATAGATTAAAGACCCGATTTTTCTTCTCATTGGAGACAAAAGAAACTGTGCAGGCAGCATTTCTGTTGGTAAAATAGTAACAGCTCTATTCGGAGCACTTGCTAACTGGCAGTTGCAGGGCTGCAGAGGCTCAGGGCAGAAATGGAGTTGCTCAGTTTGAATTCCCTGGAATTTGTGTCTTCTGAACTCCAGCTTTGGTGTCAGAGCTTTGGGATCCAAAGAATGGACAGACTGTCCCTGTAGTTTTATTTGGAATATATTTAAATTTCTAGGATGCTGCTGCTGCAGTGTGCTTGGGAGAAACCTCCAAACTCACACAGTGGCAATGGAAATCATGTTAAAAATTCACAGGCAGCGTCTCTTAACTTCACCTTGACCACTGTAAGTGCTTGGAATGGTAAATTCTTTGACCCATGCTGGAAAAAGGCAAGGGAAGGAGTCAAAGGGGGGTGTTTTATCATGTGGGGTGGACATTCCTGTTACAGCATTCAGTTATAAAACTTCAGTCCTGGAGAGGCACTGAAATGTGCTGTGATCTACTTTTAATCATTTTGAACTCCCTTGAGATGAGGTTAGGAGACTTCTGCCACTAGATGTAATTGCTCATTCGTTATTAGTTGGCAGGTGCACTGTAATTATTAAGAATTGGATTCAATCTTTAATTCTGTCAGTCTGAAGCTGGCTGAGACCACTTGCTTTGGGACAGGAGAGAAGGCAGGGTGGGTGGTAGGGAGCCTGTGAGTTGTGCTAGGAGTAGGGTTGGGAATATTTTTGTTCCATGCTGAAGGACATGACTTTTCAGGTGACAAAAGTTTTTGATGTCAGCATTGAAAAAGAGGAAGAAAATAAGGGGTAGAGTTTAACAAAAAGTGTGATGTAGAGATTGGATCCCAAAAGTTGTTTCACCAAATACTCTGAGACAGGCGCTATAAATTGTATTTAGATTCTAATAAGACAGAAGAGGTTGGATGTTATTTGGAACCAAAAGTAAATTCCGGACTTGCCTTCCTGGTGGTTACCAGGGCTCTTTCTTTACCTACCAGAGTGCTCTCTCTGTCCTTCCCAAGGAGGATCTGATCCTTAGAGGTACAAAGCAGCCTCAATCTGGCATGAAAGCAATTTCAGCACATCGGACTGCACCAAATTGTGTCTAGAAGGGGGATAAATGTCCTGTAGTAACACGCTGGAAATTACCTGTGATAAAGAAAATGTCTGGAAAATCCAAAATGTGCTGCCTAGGAGTAACACTGTTTTGTATTTTTGTGTATTCTCTGTTGGTGTGGTTTTTTACAGGAGCTGAAGGAGTGCTCTGGCCATGTGTTTGTAGACTCTGTGCCTGAGTTCTGCTTACCAGAGGTGAGTTTGTTCCAAGCCTTACTGAAAAAATCTCCATTCAATCACATGGGAGAAACTTGTTAAAGAATAATAATAATAATAATAATAATAACAAATAATGTTATTATTATTATTATTATTACTACTATTATGTTCCTGCTAATTTATTAATATTCAGTAAATAATACTGCTAAAATTCTGTGTTGTTAAGGTGCCTCCAGGCTCTATGACACTGGAAAAAGGATGGAAACAACCATTCTCAGTTGTGGTTTTGGGATACATGGAAGGTCTCCTTGAGCAATTATCAGACTGAACTGTCCCTTTTTGTGGCCTTTTCAAAGACAACCTGACTGAGCTGGGCTGACTGACAGGGCCCATGTGCTGATCCAGATGAGGGCAGGGCACAAGGGTGAGGAAAGCTGCTTGTCTCTAATCACAGATGCAGGACAATGCCAGTGGAGCTCCCTGGGAGCCAGCTGTGGTTAAGCCAGGTTGGGTTCTGCTGGGCTGCACTTCTGCCAGCAGCACTATCAGGTTAAAAACCTTAACAACCTCTTTGAGGGAAGAACTGGGCCCTCATATCCACAGGCATGGCTGCAAGTGGCTGCTCAAGCTGGTTTTTACTGGAATTTCTGGGTTTGGAAAAAGCAAGCAAGATGTTTGGATTACCTGGAGTCACCCGATGGATCAGGGGAGTGCTGTAGGAGAAATAAAGATATAGAAAGCTGAGCAGAGAAAGGTGGGGATGAATGATGGAGAGTAGCATGGGAATAGTATCCCTTTCTTTCAGTGTGATAACATCAGTTCTTTCATTTCATGGTGGGATGTTTTCTCTGTCATTCAAAGACAGACACAATTGGTTTTGGGCAGAAATTTTTTTTTCCTGACCTTGCGGATGGGAAGCACAAAACACTCCTGGAAGGTTGCTGTCAGCTTGCTGAGGTTCTGACAATATTGCTCCCATGTGTGGATCCCATGGAACTCACCTCTGGCACCACTCTTGTCACCTTGATTCTTCCAAACAAGCTGGCAGTTCTGGTACTGCTTTTGGCAAGTGATTCCAACAGATTATAACCATTCCAACCCAACTGGAATTGTCATAATCCAATCACACCAAAAAAGATCAGCCCAAAACCTTAATAATTCTCAGTTCCTGTGAGCCTTTTGGTTACTGTTCTGTGAAACTGAGGGATGTGGGAAACATCTGTGTGTGCAGAAAGTGGTCCAGATCTTGGGAAACACAGGGTTTATGTGCTGGATTCTCTTTGGAATGATTATCTACTGGGGCTTAGGGTGCTTCTGCCAGACTTTCTGGTTACTTTGGGCTGGAAAATACCCACATGTGTAGCTCTAAATATGACAGACAGGGAATCACTGCTTCATTTTACTCCTGTTATCACTGCATGTGGTGGTTTTAAAGCACTAGGTAAAAATCACCAGAAAACTTACTCGTCTTTTGTTGTGAGATATGGATTAGGAGAAGGGTAAAACAGGCTTAAAACTTAAAATGAATAAAGGAAGTTGATTAATAGAACTACAAGAATAAGAAACAAGAATAAAACGTAAATAAGTTTTCTGGTGATTTTTAGCTAGTGCTTTAAAACCACCACAGTGTATGAAGCTGCTTCCCAGCAGCCCATCCTACAACCAGAAGATGGCAATCAACTGCACATCATCATTGTGGGGACTTTAAAAATGTTTCCCAAAATTCCCAGCAGATGCCACATCTCCTGCATGAACACTGGGAAGGGATCCGCTGAGATACCCAGCTCACACCTTGAGCTCACCTGTCTGCAGGAGGTTCAGGAGTCATGGCCAGCTGCAAAGAGTGGAAATGTTGCTGCTGTTTGGCAACGCAGGATAAGAGGGAGCTTGTGTGAAAGAGGCTTTTACTTTGTCTCCTTCCCTGCCACTTCTTTTGAAGAAACTTGTCTGCAGAAGCAGTTAGCCAGACGATCTCAGTATTGCTTCCAGAGCACCGTTGCCAAAGCAAGCCAAGCTTTGGATCTAATCCAGCAGCCACAAGGTGATAGGAGGCTGTCTCGGCAGCAGAGTACTCTCACACATGTCAGAGTGCAGGGTGCAGCCCTCTCTTTGCTTGGCAACCTTCTGCTCTCTCACTTCTCATGCAAGAAACATTTTTAAGCCTCTTCAGCTCAAAGGCACTTTAGTGGGATTGCTGCAAGCCCCAGGGAAGATTTCACTTTGTTTTGGTTTTGACACCCTTTTCATCCTATCAGTAAATGCTTCTAGGGTGCTGAGATGTGGCATGCTTAAGGTTGGAAAGTGCTGGAGTGTATCCTCCTGATGGCTCTCCTGGGCTGGGATTCAGCTCAGGGCTGGAGCCCCTCTGCTCTGGAGCCAGGCTGAGAGCTGGGGGTGCTCACCTGGAGAAGAGAAGGATCCAGGGAGAGCTCAGAGCCCCTTCCAGGGCCTTAAGAGGCTCCAGGAGTGCTGGAGAGGGACTTTGGGACAAGGCATGGAGGGACTTGGGACAAGGCATGGAGGGACAGGACACAGGGAATGGCTTCCCACTGCCAGAGGGCAGAGGTAGGTGGCATATTGGGAAGGAATTCTTGGCTGTGAGCATGGGGAGGCCCTGTCAGAGGCTTCCCAGAGAAGCTGTGGCTGCCCCTGGATCCCTGGAAGTGTCCAAGGCCAGGCTGGACAGGGCTTGGAGCAGCCTGGGATAGTGGAAGGTGTCCCTTGGTGGGATAAGTTGGTTTTTAAGGGTCTTCCCAGCCAAACCAGTCCTGAATTTGATCAGTCTGGACACAGCTGAAAACCAAGGCATGGACAATCCAAGCTTTGGCAGGAGCAGGCATCAGCAGATCCTGTGATTCCTTGCAGGGAGACTGTTCCTGCCTGGAAACCCAGGAAGATAGAAGGTGCCCTGTGGTGGAGCTGAGGATGGTGCTTTACCTGCTGTTCTCAACTTGGAGATCATTGCTCCGACATCAGCTGTGATCATGGATTGAAACCATGAGTGCTTAGGAGGAGTTAAGCAGCTTGTCACCAGAGCACTGTGTCAGCCCTCTGCAAAGCAGAGTGACCTACTTTCTTGCCTTTTTTATTCAAATTGCTGGACCAAGCCTTGTAATCAGATAATATGTGCTTGATGAGTGTTGAATTCCATTAGCTGCTCTATAATAACTGAGTTAGAGGTCAGTAATCTTGTAAATTTCTGACTTGACACCATTTGTGTTGTAGTATTACCAGTAAATATTTCTAATTAAAATTCTTTTAACAATGTGCGAAATCTTCTTTCAGTCTCAGAACTCTTGTCTAAACTGTCACATCAAAACGAATTGGGCCCACCCATCCCTTTTGTTGTATCCTGTGAATGGGCTTCATCTCCTGCTGTAGAAAATGTGAATGATAAAGATGCTAAGCATTTACTTTGGGAAAAATATGAGGATTATTTTTAAGCATATGAACAAATACAATCTTCATTCATCCCTTTCTTGGGGTACAGTACGATGTGATGCATTAAAAAAATATGAGTTTCCCTAAATCGCTGCTGTAGAAGTTTTGGTGTCTCTTCCTCCCCAAGGAGGTGCATACATCAATTCTTTGATAAAAGTAAAATAATCATGGATCTCATAACAGCAGCCATTTCATCACCTGAAAGACAGAAAAACCCAGGGCATGGTTTCCTTTCCAGGTTGGAGTATGGAATAATTTTAGGGGACTTTTCAAATAAACCTTGTTAATTTAAAGACAACATTAATCTTTGCTGCAGCTGAGACATACTTTTATAAACCAATTACATCCCTGCAATAAAGTTTAAAAAAATAGAATAAGTTTTTCTGCCATTTATTAAACTTCATGAAAGGGCTGCAAGTTGCTTATCTCTTTGCTCTGTTTCCAGACTGAACTGCTTGACCTCTCCATGGTGGACGTAATCTTGATCTCCAACTATCACTGCATGATGGCCCTGCCCTACATCACAGAGTACACAGGATTCACTGGAACAGTTTATGCCACCGAGCCCACTGTTCAAATTGGCAGGTAAAAAGCCCCTGCATATTCTCTGCTCCTCTTCCATCACTGCTGAGGAGAAGGTGTAAAGGACAATGTGGGGAGAGAGGAGCGCTGTCTAATGTTCCGAAGAGGCTTTCAGGCAGGAGCTGAACGCCAGCCAAGTCCTTAGTGCTGCAAATGTGTTAACTCCATGTTTCCCAACCTCTGGAATCATCAACATTTCCAGCAGGTGCTTTGTTTAGAGTCCAGGCCATAAATGTGGAATTTGAGTGGGCTGAGACGCCTCAGTAATTGCCATATAGGCAACTGCAGACCTTCAAAAACTGTGGATCAAAGAGCTCTCCTGCTCTGCTGTGGTCCCTTTAACCAAAAGGAGTCTTCCCAATCAGAAAACCCCTTGTTCCCCACAGAAGGTGTGGCTGCCCCATCCCTGGAAGTGTTCAAGGCCAGGTTGGACAGCACTTAGAGCAACCAGGTCTAGTGCAAGGTGTCCCTGCCCATGGCAGGTGTTGGCACTAAATGATTCTCAAGGTCCCTTTCAACTCAAACCATTCTAGGATTTTATGATTCCACATAATCACACTTCCCTCCACTCGATGGAAAGGAATTCAAGCTGACTTCATCTCAAATGGCAGCTGAGCTATGTGAGCTCTGAACTCCAGAGAGAAGCACTAAGAAAAATGGCAGAAATAGGAGACTGAGGTAGAAAAAGACATTACAGTGCAGGCAAAACCAGAATAGTTACCAAACCTGACAGTCTGTTTTTTCAAAATTGTGATGTTGATTGGATGGGTCAACACCAAACACTGCAGATTCGGTGAGGCCTAACTGGAACTGAGCTCTGTTCCCCTGTCCTGCAGAGCTGCCACATTCAGTAGTTAGGAGCCAGATTAGGCCCTCCTATCTGGACTACTCTGTAAGCACTTTAGGGCAGGAATCTTTGTCCACTGAAGGTCCTGTGCAAACTTCCCATGCCTGAGTAATTCCCCCATTGTGTGAAAACAAACAGAAACTGAAGGCCCTTGTAGGTGAAAGGAATTGTGTAAATATGAACGGGTAGTAGACCACTGGGCTTTCCTGGTCCAGAGCTGGAGAAAACAAGCACAGTCTCCAGATGCCGTCCTTCTGCACCAAACTTCAAAGGAAAGTCTGCACACAGTCACAAATGCTGCTTAGTTTTGGGCAGGGGAATCTGCAGTGAGAATTTCTAATTTTTGACACTTTTCCATGTCTTGGCAGATGAGGAGAGTTCACTCTGACAGCATGCTTGGTTTTCCTAAGTGATAAACAGGCAGCAGCTGAGGAGTTTTTGTTGTGTGTTTTGTCTTGTCACATAATCACAAGCAGTCAGTAACGAAGAAATTATCTTTGCACTTTCCAAATAGCCCATAACCCAGTGGGCCAGATCCTCCTCTGTTGCAAGCAGATGGAATTGGAAACACTCCGTGGAGAAACAGGGGCAGTGCTGGTGACGACCTCTGTGGGAAGAGCCTCTCCCAGCGTTACAATTTCTTTGGTATTTTGGAAAGATTTGGGCCAAAGTTCTCTCCCGTGTGAGAGGAGGCAGTGCTATTTTAGGTTTGATTTCTGTTTTCAGGCTCCTCATGGAAGAGCTGGTGAATTCCATTGAACGCGTGCCAAAGGCTCAGTCTGCCTCCATGTGGAAGAACAAGGAGGTGCAAAGGTAAGGAACGAGTCCCAGAAAAGGTGGTTGTGCCAAAGCGCCAAAGTTTGGGAGTCACTGTGAGGATGGCTCAGCTCCCACCATTTGAGATTTGCTGCTCTGACTCCGTGGGTCGATTATTTCTTTAATCGTTTTTTGCACATTGGTGTTTTTCCAACCTCAGAAATCTGTTTCTTGGAGAAAGACTTGGTAACAGCAAAGCCTCCCCTAATCTCCCCTCACACAGTTCAGCTCCATGATGGTAGATAAAACCAGCAGATTTTGGTACTAACATCATAAAATGTTGATGAAATGAGAAGGTTATTTAAATTTAATGATACTGATTTGGAATAATTTAAATTTAAATGGTATTTACATTCATATTTGCTGACATAGTAAGAAAGTCAAGACACAGCTGTTGGAGGTCACTGGTGTTACCTTTCTTCCCATCTTCTTTTACACCTCAACAGCAGAGATGCACTTTTTGGCTTTCCAAAGCTTAAAAACAAATTAAAATCTGAATTAAAAAGGTTATTTGGAAGCACCATGTCTATTATTCCAGGTGTGCATCAAAGCAAGATGCTCAGAGTTTTGAAAGCCTATGGAAACTAAAACTTATCCATACAGTTTACTAATTGCAGCTGATGCTTTCCTTGGGAATAAAAACAATTTTAAGTGCACAACATGTTCCTTGGAGAAGGCAGTTTTGTTTTTAGCACATTTTAAAGATAGGGTTGGTTGATTAAAAAGTTATTTTTAAAAGCTGCTTTGTGCATTTTTAATTGATCTTCCATTTTATACTCCTGATTCTTAAGATGGCTTGATTTAGAAGTTTCCTAAAAGTGAATTATTTCTTACTTTAGAAGAGTAGGCTTGATGTTTTCCAGTCTCACAAAACAAAAACTAAAAATCCAAATTCCCATGATTTTAGCTGTAGATTGCCTTCCCCTGCTGAATTTGGGAGCAGTCTTTACACCATAACTCTCGTTCTTCTGAAGAAGACAAGCAGATGCCAACTCAGATGTAAAGCAAAACTACATACACCAAAGTTCAGCAGGATTTTCCAAATACTGGGGTGTTTTTTAAAAATATTTTGGGGTCCACTGTCCTGCCCAGAGCCACTGCTGAAGCTCCCAGTGTGCAGAGAGAGAGGACTGGAGCTGTTATTCCTGTCACACCAGGCGTGTTTTGTATGCATGGTTTAAAGGAGAATCATATATCTTGCAGCTCATATAATGTCACTTTCCTGGTGGTCGTATTTTAGGAAAAGTGCTGCCTGGCACTTTGCATGCTGCTGATTATTCCAGGGGAGAACACAGAGAGGGAATCTTTGTTCTGATTCAGCTGCTGTAGAGCAGATTTTTTTTCCTTTAAGTGGTGTTTAAAATACATGTTCCTCTCTCCTGTTGCTGGGGATGTCCCCCAAAATTCATAGTTCCATCCCGTAGCTGTTGTAAAGGGGTAGCAGGGAGGTGGGAGCTACTAAACAGCTGTTTAATAACATAAATTTGTATGTAATAAACTTTGCTGGTATGAACCAATGTTGTCTTTGAGCCGGAACAAGAGGACAAATGTGAACTCCCTCTCTACCTCTGCCCCACCTGTGTCCCGAGTTTTCCCCTTCACCTCCCTGTGCATCTGTAAAACAGAGCTCCCATCCAGCACAGAGGGCACACGGGGACTTTAATTAATGTTTGCAAAGTGTTTTGAGATGCCTGGTGACAAGTGTCACGCAGGCGTGAATGGAACTGATTATTAGAGCAAAACATCCACTGATCCCCAAATTAGCACCTGGCTAATGGCACATGCAGGCTTGGACTGACATCCGTTACTTAAGAAAATGTGATCTTGATGAATTGGGTTTTTTTTTTCCTTCTTGGCTGTTGCTAGAGCAGAATACTTATTACTTCTGAGTCTAACTTTAATTTTTCAGGCTGATCAATCCCCATTACTGCTTTACAGTTCAGCTAGTTCTACTCCAAACAGTTAGTATAAAACACAAAGTATTATCATCTTCATTAGATAAAGCACTGGAGCATTTTAAATGCAAATACTGTATAAAATATAATAAGTTCATTATAGTGGTTTACATTTTTCCATTATCAGATCCAGTCTGAACTAATTACTTAGCCAGTTTTATTGCCACTGGGTTTTATTTCAAGTGAGCAGTCTTGTGGAAGCTCTGTAGATGTCAGCCAGGATATCTTTCACACTGATTGGGATTGAGGGGCTAGAGAGGAAGTTTGCCTTATGGAAGGAACTTTGTTGACTTCTTGTTAGGTGGTTTCCTACATCTTTTAAAGTGTTTGAAACAGGCTGTTTCCTGAGGCTGAGCAGGGCATGAGAGAGGCTGTGGTGCTGCCTTCCTCCTCTCCCTTCAAACAATTCTGGGATTTTATGTCATGCATTAAATGTCACCCTTTGCATTGACCAGGAGGAACTGTCTCTGTGCAGGTCCCAGGGAAGAATACAAATCCCTGAGTTTTTTAAGCATGAATTTTGTATCCTCAACCACATGGATTTGTGGTACCTCCCTGTTTGTGGCTGTCCCAGCAGTTGCCCTCGCATGTCTGGTTGTTGTGAGGATTACAGGATGTTGCCTACATGGTAGGCAGCAGATTTAGTCCAGACCACAAAATATCCTGTGGTAACTCTGTAGGGATTTTAGAAGTGAGTTGACAGACTGAATGCTGACAGGGGCACATCTGAGGGACCAGCACCTCATGGCCATTCACCTTCATGAAACCACTGGAGACTTGTGCCACTGGTCTCTGCCAGGGATCAGAATATTTTCAGTGTAGCCACAGTCAAAGCTAAGAGAAACTTCCTTCAGTCACCAAGGACAATTCCCCACTTTCTCCATTACCTGGAGAAACATTTTCCTCTTCCCAGAAGAGAAGCTCCTGAAAGCATCCAACACTAAATGCTTCTTATGGTAGGTTAAAGGCTTTTACAGGCAATTTGCTTCAGTGCAGTGGTGGACAACTCTCCATATTGTGTGGCCTTTTGTTGCTTATGACTTCCCAAAAAAGACCTTGAAGGCTTTGTTTGTTTCCTGAAGCACAGGCTGCTTTCAGCCAGCGTGTGCTGGAATTACAGTTATCGTTCTCGACCTGTGCTGTGGTCTTGGCAAGAGCTGCCCTTAATCCTTTCTTCAGTATCTTAAATTATGGAGGAGTTCACTGACCTGGTAGATATAACAATAAATTAAATTCCTTTAAACAAATTGATCAAAGAAACTTGACCAATTTCCATAAATCTTTGGAAAATGGTTTGAATTAGCCTTTGATTTAGCATTGGTTTAATATACAAAAAAAAATAAAAAAATCCTATTCTTCTTACACATTTGGCAGCTGTGCTGCTTCCTGCCTCAGTTCATGTTGCTAAGGAAGATTTATTTCCCAGAAGTTAGCCATCCCTCTTCCAGCCTGTGACATTATAGTTCACTTCTTCCCTTGACAACGCTGGCCAGCTGACTTGCAATGTCTGCGAGGAGAAGAATGGATGGATCTTTCTTTGGTGTAAAACATCTTAAATACTTCCGTGGAGGGGATTTCAAAGAGCTCTGCAGTGTCAGCTCGTCTGTCCCTGCCAGGGCACTCGGAAGGGAAGTGGGATTGAAGGCAGAGAAGGGACCTGCAGGGACATGTGCTCTTGGAAGAGACCAGTGGCAGAAATCAGGGCAGAGCCATCCCTGCTCGTGTTCTGGTAACTGTACTTTAATCACTAGATTGTTTCAGATTATTAGGGTATTATTCAGATTAGGTTTCAGATTATTAGGGTATTATTCAGATTTTTATGATATGAAAAATAGAACCGATCCAAGATCCCAGTGCTGGGGATGCATTTCATGCTGACATCTCAGATCAGCCAGCACCTTTCATCAGTGGTGAAAATACCCCAAGAGTTGTGATAACACCTTGATCACAGCTACTTCTTTGATGCAAGGGCTGGGCAGAGCAGCAACAAGCAGAGCAGGAGGAGAGCAATCCTCAGGGAGAGGCAGATTGGGAAGCAAGGCTCTACTCCTCAGCAGGCAGAAAGTCTTGCTCCTCACTTTGAAGTACCAGGCACAATGAAAATAAAAATTTAAAAGGGTAAAATCAAAGATCTGGAGAATGTAAATGGTTGTAGAAACTGGTCCAGCACCAGGTTGTTCTGGATCCCACAGAACATCCCACTGGTGTTTGCAGGTTGCTGCCGGCCCCGCTGAAGGACGCAGTGGAGGTGTCCATGTGGAGGAAGTGCTACACCATGCCAGAGGTGAACGCAGCCCTCAGCAAGATCCAGCTGGTGGGCTATTCCCAGAAAATCGTGAGTACCTGGACAGCTGCCCTCAGGGCAACGCCAACAACTGTTCCCCAGCTTTTTCCTCTCTAAATTTTGTGCTGGACCCAGTTACCCTGGTCTAGGCAAGCAAGACAGGATTGCACAGACTGCCCTTCAGTCTGCCTCCCAGGAAGGGCTCTTGTTTGGTGAAATCAGGGAATATCCATTTGTTTCTTCTCTTCCTTGGGGAGGCCAATTTTAAGGCGGCATGCCCTCAAATTTGGAGCTGATGGCTGGCCCACTGAGAGCTGGGAGGATGCAGGGAGTGAATGTATCCTCTCTGTCTCTAAGCCACATCCCCTTCCCAGCTCCCCTATCTCACTTCTGGGAATCTTTTGAGTGCTTTAGCCTCCACTCTGTTTCATACTGTAAATTAGGGATTGTAAACAAAACCTAATGGTTCAGTGTGAACTTCAGAAACTCCTTTCCCAAGGCTCCCAGCTAAGAGTTATTGTCTGTAATGCTGTTGACTATAATCCAGTGTAGTTTCCAGAATGAACTGAACCAACAATTCCACAGTCTGCACATCCCACTGAGATTGTAGGCAGCATGTGGGCCATGATCCCTGCTCTTGTTTGGACCATGATACATAGTTCTGCTGCTCAGAGGCCATAAAAAATAAAAATACGAGTTAAAGTAAGTTGTGAATCCTCATTATCCATGGATTGTCACAGTTCATTTTTGACTGTCCTCACAGTGTGGCTGCATCTCCCCTAATTTTAGATCTGTGCATCTGAGCCAATCATTCTTTTATATTTACTAGGGAAAAAAACATATATTTTTTCTCTTCCCAAAGCTAACTTTGCAAATAATCAAACTTTAGAGCCTTAGTTTATACACTCTGAGGAATACAAGGCTCCCTGCCTTGTTTTTCAAGGCATCCAAATATGTATTAAAATACTAAGAAAATCATTAGTATTGCATGAATCAGATGCTTGTTCTATTATTCAGTAACCAGAAGGTGGATCACATTAGGGAGTTACATGAAGGTTTATTTTCCTTTCTCTAAACAAGTATTCCACATTCCTGGGTATAGATGAAGGAATACAATTCCTAATGACACCTGGGAAGGAGGCAACTGTCAGGTTGCTTACACTGAAACTCAAATGTGAATTGAGTTTGCTGGGTGTTGTTGCTAAATCAACAACAAGAAGCATTTAGGAAGAAATAAAGTTAGAAAGCGAGTGAGTTTGAGGTTAAGCTTGTTTTGCACAGTAAAATTTGCAACTCAAGTAGAGTTTCATATCAATATAGAAGTACTTGTCCTTCCTTCTCTACCAATTTAATTTGACTAAAGGAGAATAGAGTCTTCAAAGATACAAAGCTCCCACAAACTTCTTCAGTCCAGCAGAGGCGGGCAGAGGATCAAGACCCTGGTTGATTCCTTCATTTTGAGGTGTTATTGTTCAGTGTGAACTCAGATACCATAAAATTCTCATGGAAGTGAGACTTTATGGAGGCCCTGCCTCAGGAAAAGCTTTTCTCAGAGTGTGTGTCCTGCTAGACATGGGTGGGTAAAACCAGGAGATGTAATTCACAGCAGAACAGCTTCATAAAGGCTTTGAGCAGCACAACTGCTTTTAAAACTCCTATCACTGATGATGAAATGACCTGTCCTGATTTCTTTTGGGGCTCCCTCAAGTTAATGTCTCTCACTGTGTTTCAGGAGCTGTTTGGTGCTGTGCAGGTCACCCCTCTGAGCTCGGGCTACGCTCTTGGGAGTTCCAACTGGATTATCCAGTCACACTATGAAAAAGTTTCTTATGTTTCAGGATCTTCTCTGCTTACAACACACCCTCAGGTACAGCCCCTGATTTTCTTAGTCTTTAGGAGGAAATTTTGTCCCAAAAAAAAGGGGTTATTCCAGCTGGGATCAGGTTTAGGATAAAAGCCACTCGAAGGTAACTGTGTTAGCAGTGCCTGGACTTAATGGGCATTGATAAGACATACCCTGACAAATTACAGGTATCAATAGCTATGAGGGAAAGATAACTAAAATTCTTTGTTACTGGTGATTTGATGTTCACTTAAAATTGTGGAATTGTCTTTCACTTTAAAGAGGAAATTTTCAACAGAGTTAAACAAAAGAGCATTAGTGACTTTTTTTAAAAATCCATATTTGACTGAAGAATCTTCACAGACAGTTCACAGACTGCTTTATATCACTTCTGAAACATCCTTCCTTAGGAGGAATGATAGCTCAGTGGCTGCCAACTTTTCCACCCTGCTCTGCTAAGGGCAAAGTCTTTATAGTGCTGTAGATGTAATTTCCAGTAAATTAATTCTCTCTAGATCCATAAATTCTTAGTGCAAAGAAAGGCTTGAAGTTTGCAGTGCCGTGCGCTTCAGAAGTTGTCAAAATAGTTAAAAGCATTATTGCAGGAGGTATTTAAAAATAATTTAGAAGATGTGTCAGGTTTTTGATCAGTAAGTGATTTCCCCCAAGGTGGGTGTCTGCTGGAGAGCTTTTCTTCTGAGCATCCCTCACTTAAAAGCTTGTTCTCAGCTGAGAAACTACAGTAGATGAAATGATCCTTAATAGTAGGGCCATCCTTAGGTGCACAAAATGTATCAGAGCCTCTAAATCCCCGTTTCACATCAGCCTCATTCCATCCTGGGCTGTGCCCTCATCCCCTCCTAGAGAAAGAGCAGCAGTATTTAACAATGTGTGAATGGGATAATTCTGTGACGAGAAACTTTGCCCTGTACCAAGTAATTTGGTAACTGAGAATGTTTTCTCTTCACTGACATGAAATACGATTCAGTTTATCAGGTCAGACTGGCCAGGCTTCATCATTCTCCAGAGTTAAGCGTTTCTCTGGAAGCTTCTGGTAAAACCTCTGCTTTTAAGGAAATTCAGTCCCAGTGGCAGAGAATGGTGTGAGTGAACTGCTCATGGGCACATCTTCAGAAAGAGTAGTTTAACAGATAGTTAAAATCACATTCAGTTTGTACTTTCCTTGTTATTTACCACATCACAGATGTTACCTCATATCTTGCATTTGCTTCCAGATGCTTTTTGAAGACAATGGATAGTTTTTGTCCTGGGGTTAATCCCTGTGAGTACCAGCACAGGCTGCTACAATCTGGTGTTTCTGTATGTGGGTTTTGGGAGCTTCCAAGCAGCTCTTCATCCTCTCTTTGATGTTTGACGGACAATATGTAGTGATAACAGTATCTCAAGTGGCACAGAGTCAGAATTGTGAGCAACAAATCATTTCTTAGGGAGTGAAAAGTTGTTTTTCTGTCCTGGTTCTCCATAGGATCATAATGAGAAGTTCATAATGAAATTCCCATGTTTTTTAGCAGAGTGTGAAAACAGTCACTGCATTTGTTTTAGAAAAGGATATAGTTTGAACATATCCAGAGCTGCTTTTCCAGTGAATTGGGATTTAAGCCTGGCACCACTGACTGTTCCCTGTTCTTCTGGCAGATGGTTTCCATTGAAATTTTGCCTCCCCCTCTCCTGAGGCTGGAATTGACACCGTTGCCACTGAAGCAGAGAACAGGAGTTGACAGCACAGGTTCAGACATGTCACTAAAAGCCTTTTAAGACATTTTCTTTACATTAACCCACAAAAATCAATGCAGGCCCTCTCAGTGCAATGGCATCTGAAATTATGTGGATCTAATATGCCATAATCATTATGTACATTATCACAGGCAGATTCCATATTATTTTTTATTGCATTATTGGCATTTCATTTCCATTGACACACTGGAGAGAGTCGAAGATTGTGATAAATCTCAGGTGTCAGGTGTGATCCTACGAGGGGGCACACAGTTTAAACTCCTCTCAGAGCTGATAGGAAATTCCCCTGCATGTTTAACAGAGCAGGGTCCTTCTCAACTGCTTCAGAATGGCTCTGGAGAGCTGTGAGCAGGGGAATTGACCTTACAGTGGTCTTGGAGATTCAGCAGAGGAAATCTCTTCATCTGTCTCTTCTGGCAGAAATCTTTCCTGGTTGGTGAGACTGCAGAGAGTTGTTTATTGAGAGTAAATAACCATAAAATACCACACAGCTGCCAGCAGTTGCGCACTTTTGCTTAATCAGTAGCTGTGGGAAGGGCATCCCAACCTGGAGTGAGACTCAAAGTTACCTTTTCACCATCTGCAGAGAGAGAATTGGGTTTTACATTATCAAGATTGGATCATGCTACATTTTCAATATCAAGAATATGTGTTTAGACAAATGTCTAATTTCTGAGTATCTACTTTCTGTTTGCTAATGCAGAGAAATGGGTTTGCATTTTCATTCTGCTTTAATAAAATACCAGTATAAAACAAGTTAGATTTCCACAGATGGAGGAGTGTGGAGTGTGAAATGTTTGGTGACTGTGTCTATTATGGAGAAACTCCCATTCCTGATTTCATTTCCCTCTGCTCTGTTCCAGCCCATGGACCAGGCTTCTCTTAAAAACAGCGACGTTCTCATCCTGACAGGGCTGACCCAGATCCCCACTGCCAACCCCGATGGAATGGTGGGAGAGTTCTGCAGCAACCTGGGTAGGTCACTGAGAGAAATCTCCTGCCTCTTTTATCATCTTATTCATGGCTTTGGGTGGGAAATAATTCTGAGATTCCTGGAATTGAATAAGTTGTCCAGCTATAGCTCCTGGCATAAAACTACCTGTTTAGATTTTACGATGTGCTCCTGATGTCATTAATACAGTAAGTGCTTGGAGAGACACAAGTTGTACCTAAAATGTTTTGGAATGGAACAGGTATAATGAGATTTAATCATCTGCTGCTCCTGGTTTGCTAAGTATGTCACTTGGCTGCCAACAGGCTACGTGGATATTGTTCCCAGCTGAAATATTACTGTTTCCTTCCTGTGTATCAGCCAGAGTAAAATCTTTACATGCTTTTTTATGACTTTCAGTTTTGAAAACAAGCACATCTGCTTCCCTTCTTACACCTGACTTTTAAATATATCAAAAGCAAACAGCATAATCTCTGTTTAAAAAAAAAAAAGTCAAGATATATTTATAGACCCCCCAGAAATATAAAACCTAATCAGACGCTTTCACAGCTGGAAAAGCTGATAATTGCAAAGCTGTGATAGCAGTGTGAATGGCAGCATTTTCCAGCCTCTTTGGAATGTCACATCCAGTGCTGTTCTCTCCTTTTCTCCCCTTCCCCCTGCTCAGTTCCTCTGTGCTCTCATGCTTCTTTCATCAAACCACTTTTCCATGTCTGTCCTGCTCTATGTTGCCTGTTCTTTTATCAGAGATCTTCCCTTTGTTTTAAAGTCTCTGCTTTTTACAAATAAAACTAAAAAGCTCATGATAGGAGGAGGATCCTGAATAAGGTTACCAAAAGACATGACAAACCTAAATCAGACTAAATTCCTGGTCTGTTGGAATGGGACCCTGCCCATGAATGATCCCTGAGGTCCCTTCCAACCCAACCCACTCAATGATCCTAAATATCTGTTAATAGAGCACATTTTGGCATTTTATAAGAATGATAATCATGGGTTTTACTGAAGATCCTCTCTGCCAACATCCTGGCTCCAAGAGGGACTGTGTGCAGATGCCTGAAGAAGAGTAGGAGAGCAGGGTGAAATTCTGGGATACTTTCCTCTCATGATCTTTTAAGTATTTTATTTCAGGAATTTCCTGGATTAGATGTGATTGTGTAGTTTATGATGTCCAGTGGTTTTGTTCAACCTCCCCTTGAGGCTGTGTTAACACCTGAGACTTCCTTTCCTAAATGTGTGTTTTTACATTTGTGTGTGTATTTCACCTATGTCTTCATTGTTTTTAAACATTGTGAATTTCATTACCCTGTGAGCTGCCACAGATGAGCTCTGGTGACCTTGTTTTGGTAAATCCAGATGTGCTGCCCTTCTCTGTCCCTCCTGGACCTTCATGGGGGTCACTGTCCCCCTGGCAGACGGTGGCACAATCCCCTCCTATCACACTGAGTAAACAGTAGTGAGACTATTAATTAAAATGCATCTACAAATTAAAGTCTTAGAGCTGTAGTTGGGCCAAAGCAGAATCCACAAGTTGACTGTGTATAAATAAACGTGTTACATGTGTCAGTGCAGGTGGCTGTTTGTCTGCACAACTTGTTCTGGTTTACAGAAACATTCTGAACTATTTTCAGGGGTTTGCAGGTCCTCAAGCCAGCTTCCATCTTGAAGGAGACAAACTCAGAGAAATGAGAAAAATCATTAAAGAGCAAAGGAAGATACATGCTTAAAATAATGCCATTGTAAGAATCTGGAATTTGAGTGGTACTTGCCAAAAAACAGCAGTCTGAAGAAATTAAATAGTTCTATATGAATGCAGTTTAGGGCTGTCTTTTACATGATACCAGCTGTATTTATCTACCCAACATCAGGAAAATAGAGACTCAGTTTTCTTTCAAATATTTAAAAAAGTCCAAAAGCAATGGGTTGCTGGGAAAAGCAATTGAGTAGTCAGGCAGAGCACAGTAGTTTTCACCTGTGTTTTCTCAGTTCCATAATGTTCAAGGGAGTGCACAAGCAGCTCGGAATACTCATGGTGAAATCTCTAAAGGAGAGCAAAATTCACTGAAAGTGTGTATGAAGAGGTACCAGCATGCTTGTGAAGGAGGGATGTGAAGCACAGAAATGCAAGTGTGAGAATTCCACATGGATCTCTGTTTTCATCCCAGCATGTGGAGCTGCAGCCCTGATTCCCAGGATTCCCAAGGCACACACAATTTCCTCCCCACACTCTGTCCCACCTCCAGCTTCCTCTCAGTTCACCCCAAGCCCCATTTTTCCCTGCTCAGCCCTGCTGCTCCAGCACTCTGCAGCTCAAGGAGAGCAATTTTATTTCCACGTTGCCTTGGGCACCAGCAGCAAAGCTGCCAGTCTGTCTGTGGGGACAGTTGGTGATATTTTGTGTGAGTGTGAGGCTGTGTGTGTTTATGGAGAGCAGAAAAGAGCACAGTTTGCTTTTTAGGTGCCAACTCGACCTTGTGGTGGCAGCTGTTGGGGAAGCAAGGATCTCTTTGTGAGCTGCAAATTGAACAACTTGTTATGGAGCTGCTGCTGAAGGAGACTAAATTTGAAATGCCAAGATTATTTTACAACTTTCATCAGGAGAGAGCATCCATCAGTCACCAAGATAAATTGGGCTTTAAACAACTTTCAGAGAGATGTGTCCTCTTACTGACAACTCTGAAAAGTTGTTGTAGGGCTGCAGAGAGCCAGACTGGACCTTCTGCTTGTGTGGAAAGCAATATTCTTGGAAAGGTTTCCACTCCTGTTTTGCAGAAGCTGGGAGGTGATTCCTATCCCTTTGTGCATCCCTGGCCTGGTGGGCACCTGGCTGGAATTATTCTCCACTCCCTGGATTGTGATTTTATATCCATTACTGCTCACCAGCTCTGCAGTTTTGCTGGGGACAAACTCAGGCTGAATCTCCTCCAAGACTTTACCCTCCCTTATTTCCTCTGTGGCCCCAGGAATCTTGAACTTGTGCTTGTTTTCAGCAGAGAAGGCTTGAGGTTTCCAGGGAACCACTGGCTGTGGGGAAGGGAGAGCTGGGAATCCAGGCTCTGTTGGATTTGGCATGGTCAAGTTTTGGTAGTGTAGGGCTACAGGGATGGCTCCTGTAGGAGTTTCCAGAAGTTTCCCCCATCCCAGCTGGCTCCAGGATGGACCTGCTGCTGGCAAAGGCCAAGCCCATCAGAGGTGGCAGCACTTCTGGGATAACGGAGTGAGGAGGGGGAAAGAAGTTACTGTGCAGGAGCAGTTGCAGCCAGGGAAGAGGAGAGTGAGGGTAAGTGAGGAACAGCCCTGCAGACCCCCAGGGCAGTGAGGAGGAAGAGCCAGGAGCTGCTTCCAGCAGAGCTGGAGATTCCAGCCCAGGGTGGAGCCCAGGGAGAGGCAGCTGTGTCCCTGCAGCCCAAGGGGGCCCAGGAGGGTGCAGAAATCCACCTGCAGCCCCTGGAGACCCCACACTGGAGCAGGGGGATTCCTGAAGGAGGCTGTGAGCCCCTGGGAAGCTCACACTGGAGTAGGGTCCTGGCCAGGCCTGTACCCTGTGGAGAGAGGTATAATAAATAAAAATAATTTCCACTAGTCCATTTTGTCCACAATAGTAATTAGTCAGTGATCTCTCCCTGGTTTTAGCTCTCCCCACAAGCTTTCTGTTACATTTTCTCCCCTGTCCAGCTTGAGTGATAGAGGAGCTTTGGTGGGCACCCAATCAAAGCACCACAAAGGAATGGAACTCACTTTTTTTGTGGCCTGACACATTCTTTAACCTCTATTTTGTATCCTATCCCTGGCCTGTGCACCAGTCCTGCTGCAGTGGGTGTAGGTACTTGCCTTTCCTCTGCAGAATTTTTGGGTGTGTGATGTCTGAGTGTAAATTCAGGTCCTGGAGCCACAGCCTCAACTTCCACCTCCAGATGGCTTTGAAAATGTTGTTCTTAACCTCCCCATTGCTCTCTTCACATCCTGTTTACAGCTGGGATAGTTTAGATTTGCCCATGTGAGGGGGATAATGTCACACATTGCTGGAATGTTTGGGAACATCTCGAGTTCTGGACAAATGTGAACTATTGCTGTTCATCTCCACAAATATTTGGATGGTATAGTTTGTATATGGCCTGGAGAAATAAATCCACTACCCTGCAGTTGTACTATAAGTGATAAACAAGGGGCCTTTGATCAGCAGTTGTTGATAGCACCGTGTCAGAGGCACTGACTGCTGCAAGGAGTAAAACAACCACAAATGCATGTGAAAAATCCTACTAGGCTGTGCATCTCCCTGAACTCCATAAAACTTAAACATTCAGCCAGAAAAAATCTTCCTTAAAGTGCTAAATCCATACCCCAACAAAGCTCAGCAAGAAATTGGAAGTCAAGAAAGTGGTTTGGGGAGGGGGATGCAATATTTGTATTTTCAGGCTCTTCCACGCTTTTTGTGGAATGCTTGGTGCATGATGTAACTGCTGCTGCACTGCAGTTAACAGCAGTGGATGGTTTTACCCCATGACCACAGGTGAAATTGCTCACTGAGCTGAACAAAGTATTTCTCCTTTCCCAGAAGGTGCAGTATTTTTGTAATTCATTCTGCCAAAAGAATGTGGTGTTTGGTCTGTTTGCTTTTGCTGTTGTACTCAGATCTGTCTCAGTTACAGAGTAAACCTATATTTCCTTTTTCTTCTCCTCATTTTTATCTAGTCCCACGCTGCCTGCAAGTTGGAAATTGCTCTTGTTATACAGAAAGGACAGAAAAATTTAGAGTTTTTAAAAAGGACAAACATTCCATCAACCATTTCTGGCTCTGAGGGCTGTTTGAAATAACCACACTTTTGGCTTTTCATCTGAAATCCAAGCGCTGAACAGCGCACCATCTGCAGTGCCTTTGGCTGAGACCTGGGAGCTGTTGTCCTTCCTCTCTGGAGGCAGCTGAGAGATGGAACAGGGTTTATTTTGATGGTGAGGTGGTTTGTGTCACTCCTTTATCCTCCTGTGCCAATGCACGGCTGCCCTCTCCTGTCAGGAGTTTTCCATGTGCTCAGGCTGTCATGTGCCCCCAGCTAAAGGAGTAGAATGGCTCCATTGAGCCTGGAGAAGGCAGGAAATAAATGTATTTAATGATCAGAGGTTTTCTTCCCAACCCATGTGCATAATGTGTTGTGCTAATTCATGCAAAAGCTGGTTTATATAATATTTGGATGAAAGGAATTGATTGAAAGTTTAAATAAGAACTGAGTGAGTTGATTTCTCTCGTTGTGTCTCCCTTAGCAATGACTGTCCGGAATGGAGGCAATGTCCTGGTTCCCTGTTACCCCTCTGGAGTGATCTACGACCTGCTGGAGTGTCTCTATCAGTACATTGACTCTGCAGGACTCTCCAACGTCCCCTTTTATTTCATCTCACCTGTTGCCAACAGCTCCCTGGAGTTCTCCCAGATCTTTGCTGAGTGGTAGGTGTGCCAGGGCAGCCCCAAAGTGCACCCTCAGCTGTGGGAAGAGGCAGGTGCAGGTTATCTCTACCTGACAGATTCTAAAATACACCTGGTTAGGATTGTGAACACGTTCCTGGAGTCACCAGGGGGTGGGTGTGTGTGAGAGAACATGTTCTATAATTAGGGAAGGATCATTTCCTATAGAATGTGCAAACTCAATCTCTGCCTTTTGGTGCTTACCCTAATGAGTAAATTATGTTCCTGACTTGAGTCACAGTTTTAGCTGTGCTTGTTTGCGAGTCTTAGCACCCCCAAATTCTACCATGATGTCCCTGGCCAAGCAAAATAGAGTTTTAAGGCTTAATTTTGCTGAGCCATGGCAAGAAAAGGCCAAGAGTGTCCTGGACTGCCTGAGGCAGAGCAGAGCCAGCAGGTCAGGAGAGGAGATCATGCTCTGTTCAGCACTGCTGAGGCCACATGGATGGTGTTCTGTGCAGTTCTGGTCTCCCCGGTACCAGAAGGATGTGGGATTTCTGGAATGAGGCCAGCACAGGGCCATGGAGATGAGGGGAGGCTGAGGGAGCTGGGGCTCTCCAGCCTGGAGAGCAGAAAGCTCAGGAGGATCTGACCATTGTGTAGAAACACCTGATGGGAAGTAATGAGGATGAGGGCTCAGTCTGTTCAGCAGGGCCTGCTTGCAGAACAAATTAAAACACGTGAAATTCCATCAGGGCAGGGGATTTAAACTGCCAGAGGGCAGGGATGGATGGGATATTGGGAAGAAATTCTTCCCTATGAGGGTGGTGAGACCCTGGCACAGGGTGCCCAGAGAAGCTGTGACTGCTCCAGCCCTGGAAGTGTCCAAGGCCAGGTTGGATGGAGCTTGGAGCAACCTGGGGTGGTGGAAGGTGTCCCTGCCCATGGCAGAGGGTTGGAACTGAATGATCCTTCAGATCCCTTCCATTCCATGATTCTGTGAAACACTGCAGCCTCTGTGCAGAGAGATGTCAGGAGATTTTGCTGCGGAGACATCGAAATCCAACTGGACACAGTCCTGGATCACTCTCTGCTGGGAGTGCTTGAGCAGGGCTTGGACTTGGTGATCTCAGGAGGTTCCTCCCAACCTCAGCCATTCTGTGATTCTGAGCCCTGGAAAGCAGAACCCAACCACTCGGAACTCTTCCCAAATTCTTACCAATGGAGACATGCTCTAGAATATTAAATACAATAAGGTAGCTCTCCTCTTCTTCCTCTCCAGATTTTGGAGTTCAGGAAAGAAAAGACAGGTCCTGGAAATCTTGTGGTAATTGATCCCTCAGGAGAATTGTAAAGAGGATTGAAAACTGGTGGATTTACATGGAAATGGAGGCAGAGGGTGAACATCTGTAAAACAGAAGTTTGGGGTCAGAACTGTGGCTGATATTCAGGGATTCCAGCCTTTAATATTATACCCTTTACTCAGCTAAAGGAAATGCCTTGCTCTTAGTACCCCTTAGACTTTATCAAAATTAGTTTGACCCAGGCTCATATTTTTTTAATAACGTGCAAGTGTGAGCCAGGCAGTGCTTCCCAGAAAAGCCACCAGGACAGTGTCACTGCAGATCATTGTAACGTCACCCAGACCTCTGACAAACAGCTTTTTTTAGCTGCTGTAATAGGATGAATCAGGAGTCTGGGTAGAGCTCATCAACAGCTCTCAATATCTGTTTTAAAGATAAAAGTGATTGATGGAAAATGCCAGGTCACAGTGAGCCTTGGGCCGTGGGGAGAGGCAGCTCACCAACATTGAACTGCAATAATGAAACGCACAGGGGAATTAGATTAGAATGAGCAAAAGGACCAAGTCACTGCCAAGAAGTGGGATGAAGTAAGTGGCATTTTTCTGTTGACAGATGATTTGACTTTGCAGAAGCTGCTGAGATCTGGATGAGGAACCACTGTGGATGCAGAGTTACAGATTTATCTTGGGCAGCAGAGTGTGCAGTTCCAGTGTGTACAGAATTACCTTCAGCTGCCCTGCAGCTTCTCGGTGTGATCCTGCTGGGACTGAGGGGTTGTGTCCTGTAGGTGCAGGACCTCCAACCAGAATCTCTGGCAGCAACAGGACAAATGGGTGATTTTGCACCTGGTGCCTCAGATCCAAACCAGTTTTCTCCAAAAGTGTAACAGTAGATGGCAGCAGATGCTGCAGGATGGGCTGCATCTCTAACTCTGGCTGATTTCCTTTTCTTTTAAAGGTTGTGTCATAACAAACAAACAAAGGTGTACCTTCCAGAACCTCCTTTTCCCCACGCTGAGGTGAGTTAACCATGGTCTTGTTCACTTTCTGGATCACAGTCCACACAGTGTAGCTGTTGTTTTTCTGATGAACCCTTCTACAGCTGTTTAAGTTTTGTTTAATTTTTCATAAACGTGTTTCTTTCCTTTGCTTTCTGTGATGAATTTGGGAGCGTGGGGGAGGAATGAGTGATGGTGTTCCCTAAACTCCAAAATTACCCTGTTTATTCCAGCCTATCACTTGCACAGGCTGGCCTGGCTCACTCCTTCCCCCGCAGAAGGAGATCTGGTGTGGGATGTTTGCTCTTATCAGCTGCAACCACGAGCATTCCCTTTGTCCAAGCAGTTTATTTCCAAGTCTGTGAAACTAAGAGCTTGTTGTCAGAGACAGCTTAGTCATGCCAGCTCCTTCCTTCCTCACTGAAGCAGGCACCATGTCTGCTGCAGTAGGAATGGTATCTTGAAAGAGAGATTTTTGATATCAAAATTTAAAGTTCGCAGCACTGAGTGCTGTCTGTGGCAATCTTAAATGAAATTACTTGAACATTGTAATGAAGCAAAGAGGAATGAGGCTCCTAAATTTGGAGGATTTCCCTGCAACAAAATTAAAATTTGAGGGGATGCTTTAGCCAAGCAGACAGTAAGTATAACTGGTGCCTTCAAAGTTACCTCACGTATCAGGACAGGAAATTCTCCCCTGGGAACAGGTAGCTTTCCCACCGAAGTAAACAAGAGGCAGGCTGGGAAAGGAAGAAACAGGACAGAGAATTTTAGCTAAATCCTACTCCTGTGAGCCACTGAGCCCCTTGGGACATGCAGAAACCTGGCTCTTTTAGTTGCTGTGGTCCAGACTGATGAGATGTGCAGAGTGGCCATGGCAGGTTTAAGAGCCCAGAAATTCAATGTTTTTACAGACACTGGGTGTTTTTTTTCCTCTGAGATATCTCATCCAGGGACTTGTTCTGGAAATTGCCATTAGCCATCATATCCATCATCTGTAGGTGCTTCAAAGGCGTTGTTGGGAGTAGGATCTGACCAGGAGCCCTCACTCTTTCCAGATGCTTGAATGTGTTTCAAGCAGGATGTGCAGTGAATTATGTATAATCTGTTACCAAGAATAATGTGGACTGCAGGGCAAGCCACCTGTTCACCACTTATTTTATAACCAAAAAATTCATTCCCACTGATAAATCAATTCCAAATTCTCTGAGTACAAGGCTCTGCAGCCTTGCTGCTGGCTGTGCTTTCTGTCTTGCCCTCCATCCCTGCTTTTTGGGGTGTCCTTGTTGATGCACAGTGTCATTGGATTCACTGACATCCCACATTCTGGTTTACAATATTCACTGGAACTGGCAGATTTAAGTGAAAACCCATCCAAAAATGAGAAGCCAAACATGCAGCTGTCAAAGACTGGATTAATTAACCCATCTTATACAATGGGTCTTTATGTTTATAGAGTGATAACTCTGTCCTCTAATTCCTGGGACGTTTTATATTCTCTGGGGGCCTGTTGATTGTGAGATTTTGCCAAATTATTGGAACAGCTTTGCAATAACTGCTCTGTGCTTCTTGTGTGGATCAGGGTAATTATGTAGGAAAGGCCTCCCAGCAGTGGATCCCAGCTCAGCTTCCCTGCTCAGAGGGAGGAACGTGCCTGTTCCAGGTGCAGGATGGAACATCCCACAGGATCTCCCTGCCAGGGCCCCCCCCGGTGCTCAGCATGTGCCTCGGGTCCCTTGTTAAATCTCCGAAATCTCACACCTGACACTGAATTTCATTCACACAGTGTGAAATATCCATAAAACCTCTTCCCAGCACAGCCCTGAGCCTCCACAACCCCCTCCCCCAGGCAAGAGCTTTGCTTACTGGCACTTCAGGGGATTTTTAATGAGTATCAGAAGCAGACAGTGAATGATGGTTTCTATCGGAGAGGTTGTTAGTGGAGAATTGCTTGGCTTTTTTCAAAGTAATGCTAGGCTTGTGCAATGTAACCTGTGCTGAAATTGCCCATCATGAAAAGATGTGCTTAACTGCTCGGTTGTTGGAAGAAAATAGGGAATTACTCAGACATGCCTCTTACTTCTTAGGAAGCATTAATAACATGCCTGGCATGATACATCAGAGAGGGACAGGCCAGGAAATAAGCTTCTAATTATCCACAGAACAAGCCCAGCCCAGCATGCTGCTGGTCCTGAAATTTGATGTTCCTGTTAGTTGTATAAACAGCAAGATTTAAAAACAAAGAAGGCAAAAAATCCCCCAAATCCTCAATGTTGTCCCTTGTAGCAATGAGTTCCAGCAGTGCCTGATGTGTAGTAGAACAGAATAATTCCTTCCTTTAATCAGATTGTATTTGGCATTTCACTTAACTATGCCTTTATTACTGTCACAAGAGGGTAAATAAAAGCATCTTCATTGTCTTTACAATTACTATTTTTATTTCTCCTCACTCTCTACACTCAGTTGTTTGAAGCTTTTGCATTCTCTCTGCATGGAAATTTTTGTTTTATGATTTATGTTGCGTGTTTTGAACTCATTCCTTGTTCTGCTCTGCTGAATAAAACCAGACACATGTTCAGCTCTGCAGAGAACCTGAAACATTTCTCCTTCCTTGTTTAATTCCACTTAAATGGAGCAGTAGATGTTCATCTTATCTCCTCCTACACAGTCCTGGCACAGTTCTTGTGGTGGCAGTTTGCTCCCTAACATCCAGTCTGAGTGAACAGGGAATACTTTCCCTCCGTTAGGAGCAAGGAATGTGGGCTGAAATGCTCCAGGTTTGTAGGGATGGATTTGGACATCAGTTCCTGCTGAAGTTAGTGAGAATGGAGTGTCCAGGCTCTTGCTGAAGTCTCTCCTGCAGCCTTTTATTGCTGCACTAACTAAAAGATCTTTTTAAAGGTGTTACTTTGCAGTTGCTCTGACTGCAAAGTCAAAAACTGGAGATCCCAAATATTTGTCAGCACAGGCTGGCAAGGCAGGGGGTGACTTTCACTTCCAAGCCCCTCTATCCATTATATCCAAGGTTCAACTGTCTAAATAGGCTCAGACTGAAGCTCCACAATGCCTTGCTGAAATACTGTGGAGAATAAACCAGCAATTTGTTTAGCTTAGATTTGTTATTCTAGTATCCCAGAACCAACATGTGGTATCTTACCAAATTCCACATGGGAATATCCCATCCCAGCACAGCCCCAGATGAGGAATTAGCGGTCTCCTTGATCATTTTAACAGGATCCATGGATTGTACACTCTGCCCCATCCCTTTTGTGGAGGTAGAGGCTTTATGTTTATAAAGGAATGGCTCAATTGTTGTGGCTGAATTGTTCCTCTCTGTTCGATCTTTACACGGACAATTTCAGGCCCTAAGTGAATCCAGACTCCTCTAAATGTCTGCAACAATAAAATTTGAGAGGTAATTTGTATTGATCAGTATTTGCCAGTGGAGGGAGGATTTGGATTTACTGCACTCTTATTAGGGATTCTGTTAGCAAGATCTAAGAGAAATGGCTGTAAAAACTCTTTTTTCTGACTCAAAAAAGAGCCAGGGTGGGAGTAATATTGATTTTGTGGTCTTAAATACCAGCATTTGTCTTCTTCATCTTTTATTCCCTCCTCCATTTACCAGTTCCTGCATAACATATTTAAATAAATACCTGGAGCCAGGTGACTGTGGAGTATTATGGTTTGGTTTATAGAATTATGTTATAAATATTATCATATAGGAGTTGGACTCAGTGATCCATGGGGGTCCCTTCCAACTCTGGATATTCTGTGATAAAATTGAGCCCCTGTTAGTGTTGATCTGATGGAGTGAGGGAGGTGAAGTAATGAATGCATCTCTCATTCCCTGATAGCAGCCACATCTGTTACGAATTTTGGATACAGAGCACACACACACACACACACACAGAGAGTAAATATCAGTGTATTTTGGCTCACTTCAACAAAGGGTACACAAAGGCTCTGGAGATTTATCCTGTTTATAGCAGCAGTTGCTGACCCTATAAATCAAGTCTCCAGCTTTAAAGGGAAGCACAGAACCATTTGGGACTGCAGAAAAACGCAGCTCTCACTCTTGATTCAGTACTTTACCAGCCCCTATCTCTTAAGCTTTCAGTCAATAGTTGTTTTTTCTATAAAAAGATGCTCTGAATGTTGCTTGTGCTTCCCAGAAACCAGGCCCACTGTGGAAATATTGGCAGGCTCAATGCCAGGCATTGGGTTTGGCCCAGGCTGGAGGTCTGGCCATGGCACAGCAAAGGTTTGCACACCCCATCTCATTTGGAGATACAAAAACCCTCCTGCACAAACCAAACTGCAAACTCAGTCCCCCTTAATGAGTTGGGAAATTTTGTTGGACCTGTTCTGCAAGTTCAGCTCCGTATATTTTTGATGGGGTGATTAGAAGAGGCTTTACTATAGACACTAAAATCCACCATCTGCTTTCTCACTGGAGTGAGTAGAGTGGCTCTAAACTTGTTTTTGTAGCCTTTCACCCCTGTTCTGTCCACCTGTGAGAGTCAGGGATTGTGAGCTGAGCTCTGAAGCCTCACCAGACTTATCAGAAAAGATCTGGCAAGATAAAAAGAAAAGATGAAAAAAGAATCATCACCAACGAGCTCCTGAAAACTGGATTATAGCTCCTGTGTCTCTTTACAAAGCTATAGGAGGGGATTTGAAGCTTCCATAATGCTTTGAAGAAAATACAGCTTTTATGTTGCTGAGCAGTGAACGTTTGTGGAGGTTTGGCAGGGAAATGAGCTGTTCGCTGCTTTCCACATCCAGTGCTGCTCTCACATCTTTCCAAAGATCTGAATGCTGCATACAAATAAATATCATTTGAAGGAACCTGTTAAAGAAGATGCTGGAACAACAGTTTGTGATTTTCAGGAGTGTCTTAGATCAGTGCTGGTGGTAGAAATGTCTTTCCCTGACCTATCTGCCTGTCCCTGGAAAAGTTTTCCCCTGTAATGTCACATATCCATATGACATGTTTGAAATAGAGATCATCATCCTCCTCTTCCAGTTTACTCAGTTGAAACTGCTTCTGCAATTTCAGTTTTGAGACTTTTGGTTTCCCTGAAAAAAAGAAAACAAAACCAAACAAACAGAAAAACACTTTTTGAGGCCGTTTCCTACAAGTTCATTTAAATGTCAGTATTTTATGGATTCAAATTAGTTTTAAACTGCAGTTTTTATTACTGAAGCTAGTTTTAGATTCTAAACCCTGCACTCCAGATGTGTTAATCTGAAATCTGTACCAGTACAATTGCAGGAATGTTTTTGAGATTCAGTGCCTATCAACTGCCAGAACAGTTATTGAGTGTTTTCTTTCTAATTTCCCTCTTGAAGATTAAATAGGAATTAGCTATTACTTGTAAACTGCAGATAATGTAGTCCAGTTTCTACCTCCTCTATGATTCAAGGATCCACGTGGAAATGATCCATGTGCATCTACAGAATTGTGTCATAACCTTGAATTCTGAGGTGCTTTGTGGTGCACAACTTGCTGAGAATTCAGTTTCTCTTCATTTCCATAGAGGCACCTTAGATCAGCCATTGTAAAAAGTAACACAGGACGAGGGGAAATGGCCTTAAGCTGAAATGGGGAAGGTTTAGATGAGATATTAGGGAGAAAATGTCCATGTGGGGGTGGGGAGGGCCTGACACGGGTTTCCCAGAGCAGCTGTGGCTGCCCCTGGATCCCTGGAAGTGTCCAAGGCCAGGCTGGACAGGGCTTGGAGCAACCTGGGATAGTGGAAGGTGTCCCTGCCTGTGGCAGGGGATGGAACAGGATGAGCTTTAAGGTTCCTTTCCAACCCAAACCATTCCAAGATTCTGTGATTTGTTGAACAGCCCAATCTCTTTTTAAAACTGGCTGACAAAGGAAGCCCCCTTCCCTCCCTCACACTCTCTATCTCCATGGTTTTTCTCTCAGCTGTTCAGTCTGTGATTTCATGTGTTAAATTCCTTGCTTTTTAAACTGTATTTACAGTTATTTTCATGCCGAAAATGGAAGCATGTACCTGCCAAGGAAGAAACTTGCAAAATATTCCATGAAAGTGCTTCACAGCCTGGTTATTAAATTGCTTTTTAAGTTGCACCTTGTTTTGCAGATTAGAAAACAGTGGCAGGAGAAATAAAGCAAAACTCTTCAAAAAGTGCCTTGATAAATAAACTTCTCCATCTTAGTAAAGAAATCTGTTCCACCTGCAGAGCTGATTGCACTGCGTCTGTAAAACATCTTACTGCTCTCAGTTCATGTTTATTGCTGGTTTCAGAGATAGTTAAGGAAGGGAAAGTCAGTCTGTTCTTTTTCAGCAGGTTTGATTTTGTGTGAAACCTTTAGATGGGGGAAGCTCAGCAACATCCTGCTGAAGGCAAAAGTGCCTGGTACTGCTGTGATGCAAGAAAAGCAGGTTAAACATGAGCCCAGAGCTCTTTGCAGACATGGCAAATAGGAGAAAGGAGCTTATTGTGAATTTGGCAGCTGAGCACTCTGCTCACTCCAGGGAGCTCGAAGCAGGGAGTGTTTGCAAAATTTTCCTCCCAGTCACCATCCTGCTGGTACCAAAGAAGTGAGAGCAAGGACTTGGAGGCCCCTGGCCCCATGCTCTGACTTCCTTTTCATAACATTTATGACAGTCATGACTAAATTTGTTGGAAAAATCTAAGGGGTATACAGGAAGGGACTCTCCTGATGAGTTAGGAATAAATTGTAGAACATTTATAATCTCATGTAAAGAAACACACTCAAGCACAGAGGCATGAAAAGTTGCACTGTCTGGATTTTTGTTTTCCTTTCAGCTTATTCAGACAAACAAATTGAAACATTATCCCAGCATCCATGGAGACTTCAGCAATGACTTCAAGCAGCCCTGTGTTGTGTTCACTGGGCATCCCTCTCTCAGATTTGGGGATGTGGTGCATTTCATGGAGCTGTGGGGAAAATCCAGCTTGAACACTGTTATATTCACAGGTAAGTAAAATGCTGATGCCATTATCAAATGAACAGTTTGTGCACTCTGGTTAAGTGTGGCTACATCCCTGGGGCTTTACTCATTTGTTCTGGGACAGAAGTTTTTGACTTCAGTAGGAGCTTATCTAAATTAAGGCCCCAGGACTGGCTGCAGGGACAAATGTAATTATTGTGCCATTTAATTCAGTGTAGCCCTGCAGAGCCAACCTTTGCCATGCAGAGTCCATTCCTGCCACATCTGAGCAAAATCATTGTTATGCACAGCAGTAAAATGCCTACAGGAAATTAATTTTTGAATTAAAAGCAGCTGGCTGCAAGTTAAACCCAGGCAAGACCTAATGGATGCTGGTCAGAAAGGAGAAACACTTCTCCATATTCTGGTGGAACCACAAACCTTTCCTCATCCTTTCTCCTGCCTTTTCATCTTTCAGTGTTTCTAAAGGGGTTTCTGTCCTCTCTGCTGTCCCAGAAGTGTGCACCCCACACAGACCTGGCACGGGGATCTGAGCTGTTCCTGCCTTTGGGCTGAGCTTTGTTCAGGTGGTTTCTGGCTGGCAGACACATCTGTAGCTGAAGGTACAGCTCAGGCTCATTCCCCAGGGGAGCTCTTTCCTTTCTCATTACTCAACAGGTCTTTTAAGTTCCCCCACTTCTCTCCATCTGCTTCCAGTGCTGACCCTGATTAAAAATCCTTCAAGGCCTTCCCTGCAGGTGAGGTTCTGTGCAGGTGTGTTTGTACCTGATGTGTCACCCAGACAAAGCCCTGCAGTGGGCATTGTCCTGATCTTAGGAGGCAAAGAATAATCCTTTAGGTCCTTACTCCTGATTTTGAGTCTAAGGAGCTCTGGGATAATGGGAGGTGTGCTCTTTATGACTTAGCCAGCTAAAGAAGGTGTGGATTTTTGGACAAAGTAATTAGAACTGGGAAGGAGAGCCCTGAGGAGCAGATCAAACCTACTCCCAAAGCAAGGGTGGGATGGAGTCCCACTGTTAAGTTTATTTTCCTTCAGTTTTTGGTGAATAGGAAAGCTGCTGGACAGCACAAAACCTGAAGAAAAGAGGGCTGGGAAAGGGTTATTTCCTTCTTTCTTTTAAACTGTGAACTCGAGGCTAGTGACAAGCAAGTCCCTTTGACTCTTTCACAATATTTGCACCAAAAAGTGTGACAGTTTCATGACAGTGTTAAGCCAATTTGGGGATATTTGTAGTATAAAATTAACCCTATTCAGTGGGAGGGGAGATATGGGGAGGTTCCTGCAGAAAACTTAAATCCAGACTGGTTTTGTGCTGGGAAATGGTGTAAGATACCACAGCACTAAAGGTACAGCTGCTGCAGTGCCCATCCCTCCTGACCTTTGAAGCAGTTCAGGAGACATTCCCTAATTACAGTAATTGGGTAAAATTGCAATGTGGATATGCATTGTCTTGGAAACAGTGAATTCTACTCCAGTCAGGACTTCAATTAAGGCAGAGTTGGCAGAGCCTTTGCTGGGGTGTGTATTCCATGCATCCCCAGGGAACCAGTGGCATTAATCACGTTGTGAATGTGCTGCCCAGGGTGTCAGGAACTGGCCTTTAATGGCAGGAACTCTTCCTCTGTGTCTTCTGTAAGGAGAGGCAATTGACCTTTCTGTGTGAGATCCTAATCCTTCAGTGAACTGAGGCAATCCGGCACTTCTGTCAGAGCCTGGCCCTGGCAGGTTGTGATGGCATCCAAATGTCACTCCTGACAGCCTGGGGATGCAGCAGGTCATGGTCTTGGAGATCCATTCCCAGTTTGTACTTCATGAAACTCCAGTTGAGAGCTACTTTAGCTGGGTGACCTTGTAGTGCACAGTGATTCCAGATGCTTGTGATGGGTTTTTTTCCTAAATTCTGTCTATCCATGGCTTTTGTCTCTGTCTGTGGGCACATCCACTGGGTAGGATGGTTCTACTGCCTTGTGACTATTTCCTTATGGTTGCCTCAGCTGGAACAAAACCCAGGGTTTAGTGCTGGCTTTGGCAGTTGGACTTGATGACTGTAGAGATCCTAAATGATTCTGTGTCCATAGAAATTCATAGCTGATTAAATTCTCCTGTTCTTAGTACCAGTGAAAATCTGAATCTGAACCTCCACTGATGCCACTGATTTCCATTATTTAATTACTTTTCTGTTTTAAGCTAAAATCTCCTGTGGATCTGAAAGAACCCCAGTCCATTAGAGCAGTGTGTGAGAGCAGATGATGATGTAGCTTTTCCTGTGAAAAACTCCTGGTTTGTGGTAATAAAACCTTTAAACTCCAAACCATCCTGCATTGTTAATGAACACTGCTTGTTCAGTCCACAGGAACAAGTCAGTCTCCACCTTTCCAATCTGTAATATAAAAAACAACAACAAGAATATAAATTAAAGCAGCCAGGACCTGGCTGTGAGGGAACTGTGGTGCTGCTCTGCTGGCTGGTGTCACCTGCAGACATCACTGCTGGAGCAGTACTGAGGAGATTATTGATTGAAAATATCGAATACAGCTGAACCACAAAGAAATTCTAGGAGAATACACAATATAAAGAAGTCTCCTTTAAAAACCAGCTTCCTTGGAGATGTTAAAACCAGCTCAAGCATGTCAGTGCTGTACAGTGGAAGGTTTTATAACTCAGTGTCACACAGCAGTAAATCAGGAGTCTTGGGGGAAAAGCTAAAGACCTGAGATTCTGTCAGGAAAAGTCAATATGTGTCCTTGACAAGCACTTGCTGCCTCCAGACAGGTGACTTTGGGATTTTGGGTGGTTTCAGAACAGCAGTTCCTGTGTGTCACATGAGTTCCCTGTGAGCCCAGCTCAAGTTGTGTTTTTAACATTCTAAATCTCCCAAGTCCCATGCTGGGATTCCTTCATTAGAATTTCTCCCTTTTCCAAGGCTCTCCTGCCCTTATTAGGAGTTCAGAGAGGCTTTGGACTGGATTTAATATGGGATTCCTAGACCAAGACTCCATGTCTGTACATTCTCTGAACCTGCTGATTCAGAAATGCTGAACAGGTGCTGCGACAAATCTCTGTGTCCTCCACAACCCCAGATGGGATGGAGAACCTCCCTTCTGGTAACTTTTTAAACTTAAAATTTTACAATTTCACGGCACATCTCTAGCAGAGAACCTCTGCCTGACTTAAGTTTTCTGTTTTCCCCTAATGAATTTTAAAATGCCTTGTCATTTAACCTTAACTGATCACTGATCATTCTTCAACTCCCAACTTTCTCAGTATTCCTATTTTTAAATTGCTATTCATTGCTAATAAACTTAATTGACATAAAATGCCATTTTTACATTGATATTTTTAGGCTTTGTTTCATTGCCACCACCACATCTGTTTTTAACTAACATGGCTTTTTGCCCAGTGTAATTTTTATTTCGTGTTTGTGGATTCATGGCTTCATGTACACGTCCTTGTACAACGCTCATTTTTTGTTAATATTTCTCACTTTCATGTTCCCAGGCAGCTACAATTGCTTTAAACTTGGGGAAGTTATCTCTTTGGCAGTTCCAAACATTTGTGTCATTGCCTGCTGCCATGTTCTGTTCTCTCAGGGTAAATATCACCACGTTGTGCTCAGTGGTGCTTAGCCAGCAGCAGATTTTGAGATTTTGAGATTTTTAGGTGAGCAATTAACTTGTCTTTTTGTTGGATGTCACGCTGGTGCTGAACTTGCTCTGTTAAGGTTTGAAGGAGATTTTTTTTCTTGCTGTCTGCATGAGAAATCCAACCAGTACTCTGCTCTGCTGCCATGTCAGAACATCCTAGATGGCTCTTTAAATCTGTACTGGAGGCTTTGAATTTCAGTTTCCTTTAAGTTCATATTTTCACAGCCTCAGCAGGTCCCAGAGAATCCCTCCTGCTGTGTTCCAGCCACGCTTGAACTGCATTTGGCTCTGCCTGGTGTCCTTTGAGGCCTTGTGGTTCAGGATAATCCAGCAGATGAGACTTTCATGCATCCCTTTCTCTTTTCCAGCATTCCCTTTGTCTCATCTACCCCACAATTAGCAGGGAGATAGAGAGGGCATAATCTTTTCCATACCATTAGTCTGACCCCCAGAATCATGAGGTTACCTGTATCCTACACTGTGTCACCTGAGATCTGCATTTGTCATTCACCAAAAAAAAAATAATCTTTTTCTGTAGTATTCTCAATGTTTTATTATTCTCTGTGGGAGTGAAAGCCCATTCAGTGCCTGACTTTTCCCTGGCAAACCTCTAATCCAGTAATAGAAGAACCCTTGGTTTCCCACCAGTCTAAACCTGGCACTTAGATTCAAAATAATAAATACTTATATTTATTACCATCTTTATGCTGCATTTTTGTCATAGTGAAAACCAACTTGCCATTTGGATTACCTTACAAGTCTCAAAATGTCTACATTTTGCCTTCCTTTACAGGATCTGATTAAAAATAAGAGATGATGGTTTTGTCTTGATTAAATTTGTTCTAAAAATCATGCAATAATGTGTTCAAATGAAATAGTATTGCTGTGTTGCTTGATTAAAGTAAGACTAATTGTGGGCGTAATTTTCATCAAATTAATTTAAAATAATGGGTGGGGGAAGGAGGAAGGGAAGAGAAATCTGTACCAGAATTAACACTGAGCAACAGCTCTGACTAAACTGGAATTAGAGAGGAATTGGGCCATTTTTGTTGTTAATGGGGCTTTTTGAGTGTTTTCAACATTTCTTTTTCCAGAACCTGATTTCTCTTACCTGGATGCCCTGGCTCCCTATCAGCCCTTGGCAATGAAATGTGTTTATTGTCCCATTGACACGAGACTCAACTTTATTCAGGTGTCTAAATTACTCAAAGAAGTCCAGGTAATGAATTTTCTGTTGCCTTTTCTTACGTTTCTTCACACACCTGAAATTAAATCAATTAATTGTGAGCAAATGTTGCATTCAACAAAAATGGAGAAAACACCCAGATCCTTTTTTTTCCACCAAGAGGACACAGAATTGAGCTCTGCTTTAGGAAAGGTCTAAGAAAAAGAGGATTATTGTAGTATCTGCTGTTCCCCCTTGACTCTGGTGCTTTTGTGGCCCATCCCGAGTTTTGTACTAAAATTTGACATCTCCTTCCATGTTACTGCTGATGTGTTGTGCTGTCTCCAGGGCAGCTTGCAGAACCACTGGCTTCTCCTTTGGCTTCCTTAAACCCTGCAGTGGCAACCAGCCTGTTTATGCTTTGTTAACATTTTTTCTGGAAAACTCCAGGAGTTGTTTTTGCAGCCTTGATTCTTGACGGCCGAGGTTTGTGCAGCCTCACATGCTGACACTTGGGATGGTCTCCACCACTGCTGCCATTTCCTTCCAGTTTATCTAGCAAGGATTTGATAGTAAAAAGCAATTTGATATTTTTATTTTTCCTCTCCTTGCGGCAAGTACGACATCAAAGTAACGATTAAGGACACAAATTCCAGGCAGCTCCCTGCTCCTGGATCAGTTCCCTGCTGTGCTGATGGGAATTCCACGCTGCTCTTTTGCAGCCCCTGCACGTGGTGTGCCCCGAGCAGTACACGCAGCCCCCTCCCACGCAGTCCCACCGCACGGACCTGATGATCGACTGCCAGCCCCCGGCCATGTCCTACCGCCGCGCCGAGGTGCTCACGCTGCCCTACAAGCGCCGCTACGAGAAGATCGAGATCATGCCCGACGTGAGTCCCTGCAGGGCACGGGCTCGGGGGGGGGTTCTTGATTGCTTCTTGTAGCCAAATTCCAGCTCAGCAGCCTCTGGAAAGTCGTGGAATCACACAGTTGTTGTGGTTGGGAAAGGTCTTTAAGGTCGTGGAGTTGAGCTGTCAGCCAGTGCCACCGCTGTGGTTGGCCTGAAGTTCCACTTGCAGAGGTGGGGACTCCTCCACCTCCCTTTCCATGAAGGAGTTGTTCCAGTATCCAACCTAAACCTTCTCTGGTGCTACTCGAGGCTGTTCCCTCTCCTCCTGTTCCCTGGGAGCAGAGCTTGACCCCCCCGGCTGTCCCCTCCTGTCAGGGAGTTGTGCAGAGCCAGAAGGGCCCCCTGAGCCTCCTTTTCTCCAGGCTGAGCCCCTTTCCCAGCTCCCTCAGCCTCTTCTGCTGCTCCAGAAGCTCCATTCCCTGCCCTGGACACGCTCCAGCCCCTCAGTGCCCCTCTTGTCATGAGGGTCCCAGTCCTCAGGACTGGAGATGCAGCCTCAGAACTAAAGGTATTTGTCCTAAAGATGTCTTGTGGCTGGGATTTACAGTTGACTTCTCATCATGTAAAGCACATTCTGTCAACTGGAGAGCTAGGAAAGAAGCATTTTTGAGAGATAATTTCATCCTGTAAACTAATAGGAACTGAAAAAAACAACATTGTCTGGCTGAGAGAGCTGTTCGGGCTGGAGACCTTAGAGATCCTTCCAGTGCCTAAAGGGAGTCCAGGAGAGCTGGAGAGGGACTTGGGTAAGGGGTGGAGGGACAGGACACAGGGAATGGCTTCCCACTGGGGAAGGGGAGATTAGGGTGGGATCTTGGGAAGGAATTCCTGGCTGGGAGGGTGGGGAGGGGCTGGGATGGAATTCCCAGAGAAGCTGTGGCTGTCCCTGGATCCCTGGGAGTGTCCAGGGCCGGCTGGGGCAACCTGGGACAGTGGAAGGTGTCAGGATTGGAGTGGGATGAACTTTAAGGTTCCTTCCAATCCAAACCATTCCATGATTCTGTGATTGTGAGGAAGCAAAAACTGTGTTCAGGTGAGTTTTCCTTTGCAAGAAAATCCTATCCCACAAGACAAACCACGATCTCTGCCGTGAGTGAAGCAACCAGTCACCTCCAGTTTAAATATGTGGAAGTTTTAGGCACAGCAGTTTGAACTAATGCCCCAGGACCATGGAAAGGATCCAGAAAATCAAGGAATTAGCAGCCAGGAGTTGTCTTTCTCCTTCCCCAAATTCACCTGCTGTTAGAAATACTCTTCCCATTAAGGATTAGTTTTCAGTCATGGTAAAGAAGCAGTGAAAGGCTCATTTGTATTCCAACAATTTCCATAAATGGTTAATTCCTACAGGCTGCAGGAGCCCAGCAGGTTAATGGATTGCTTGTAGCCATCTAAAATGTGGATTACTTACCCCACAACATCTATTAATGATTTATTAACTGCATAAGTCAAATCCAAATATACCCATATTACACAGGGTGACCCATATTTTGACAGACACAAGCTTAAAATATTTTTTGACAATGCAATCAGCACAAATGTGCCCTTGGATCAAAGGTGACAGTGGCTTTTTGCAAGCAGGCATTACTGCCCTTTGGAAAGCGGAATATTGAGTGACTTTTCATTGGAGTTTAGAAGGAGGAAATATCCTTTAGTTGAGCCAAATATGAAGTGCAGTAGTGGGACCCACGTAACAAATCCTTCAGCCAGCCCACAACAGCCACTGCCACCATTTCACACCATTTCTGTGAGGAGCCTGCCCAGCCCACTGCTTGGAGACAAGGAGAAGGCTTTAATTACAAATATGCTTGGCTGCAGCTCCATCATGGCATGTATATTGAATTGTTTGGGAAATTTGCATCTTTATTGGATCCCATTAAACCTAAGACTGAAAGAATCCTGAGCTCAGGATTGGTTTCATGCTGGTGAAACATGGCTTCAGTTCACCAGCATGAAACCAATCCTGGGTTCAGAGTGCAGAGCCTGGGGCTCACCAATTATTCAAATTCCACTGGAGCCTTGGGTTTCCACCTAAACTGAGGTGGAACTGAGCCTTTGTATGAGAGCCTGTCCCTTGTGTCAGCTTCTGAAGGGGCTGGATTCCAGCTCTCCCTGCACTTCCCCAAGCTGCTGGGAGGGAGGATGTTCTGTAGGGAATGTGGCATTCACCAACCTGGGAAAAGCGAGCTGGGTTCTACTGCGTTCCCTTTAACTTGGAGACATCCAGCAGAAATCTGGAAGTAGGACAGAAATGGCCTTTTTTTCTCCTCCCCTAACAAATATCATCCAGTTGAATTCACACAGGAGTCCTAATTTCAGAGCTGTCTGTGCTCAGAGAGGAGAAACATCTTGTGATTGTCCATATCCAGGGATTCTTCAGGCTGGTTGTTCACTGGCCTTTCAGCACCTGAAGGGGGACTCCAGGAAAGCTGGAGAGGGACTGGGGGCAAGGGATGGAGGGACAGGACAAGGGGGAATAGCGTGCTACTGCCACAGGACAGGGGTAGATGGGATACTGGGGACAAATTGTTCCCTGTGAGGGTGGGGAGGCCCTGGCACAGGGTGCTCGGAGAAGCTGTGGCTGCCCCTGGATCCCTGGAAGTGTCCAAGGCCAGGTTGGATGGGTTTGGAGCCACCTGGGATAGTGGGAGGTGTCCCTGCCCATGGCAGGGGGTGGAACTGGATGAAATTTAAGTTGCTCCCAACTCAATCCATTCTGGGATTTCCCTGATTCCAAAGCTGCTCTTCACAACTCGCTGCAAAAGCTGCTTGGTCTGTAGTGATGCTCCTGAAAAGGCTCCTGAGAGCAAGGCTGTGCTTCAGGAATGTTAACAGGATGCCATTCCCCAGCTCCAAGATATGCAAATCATCCTCCAAAAGAGGATCTTGCTCCTTCTTTTTAAGGGAACTACATGGTCCTGGTAAAAAATGGATGCAGCTTTCCCTTCTGCTGAGTGGGTTGTGCAAGACAGATTTCAGACATGATGGATGGGGCTCCCTGGTGTGGGAGTATTTCCTGCTTAATGTTCCCTTTTCAGTAGTTTAGGGTTCCTGAATATAGGAATTTCTGTACTGCAAGGAAAGGGCATTTGTTTAATATGGGCTCCCACCAGCCCTGGGGTTCTGTGCAGGCTCAAGTGACAGTTGAAAAGGGCATTTTATAGCTCCTAGAAACCTTGCAATGGCTTGTTATTTGTCAAAACCATGTTAGCCTGAAATGGAATGATGAAATCCACCTTGGAAAAACCAGTAATTGCTAGATCTGCTGCAGGACTGGGATTTGTGTGTGAAGTAAACCTGAAAGTCTCATAAAAAAAACAGCTGCTGCAATGAAATCCTGATCAGGGCCCTTTTCTGACATCCCCAGTCCCTTTCCCAGCTCAGAGTTCTGCCTGGATTCTTCCAGCTTTGGAAAACCAAAGGGTTGGCTCAGCGTGGCTCCACTCAGTGCAGGCTGATGCTGTGGTAGAGTGAAATTTCCTTTCCCAGAACTTGCAGTGATTCAGATCCTGCCAGACTAATAGAAATTTACTTTTACTGCTGGACCTTGTCTATATTTCAATCGCTTCACCGAGGAGCAAAGGCAGGTCAGGCAGGCCTGTTGTATGATAATGAGATTTACACTCACAGCAGCCTTTGTTTGGAGAGAGTTTTTAACAGTCCCAAGGCATCAGGCTCGAATGGCTCTCCCAGGGATTGTGCAAACCTTTACACTTCAAATAATTTCTTCTCAGCACCTGCCTTTCACTTAAAAAAAAAAATAATAATAATAATAAAAAAAGACTGCTTCCTGGAAATTGGTTAGGCATTGTCTGCTCACAGGAGAAAGGTGGGAAAATGGAAAACACCTTCTGGAGCAAACAGATAAAATTAAACAGTAGTGTCTGAGCAAATAAAGTGCCTCCAGTTTAATTACAGCTGAACAATGGTGCGGATCACTCGGTGCCGGCAGCAGACACTTCACTGAGGGCTCTGTGCTTTTCAAATACTCAATTTTGTGTTCCTCAGGACACAGCCCAGTCAGGAGAGTGTCAGTGTACAAAGTACAGCCTGACACCGAGTGAAATTACCAGAAAATACTGCAGAAAGAATTAGGAAATCAGCCATTTTAATTATGGAACTTTTGTCTTGGCTCTTTTTCCTTGCTTTTACCTGACCTTTACAACTTTCTTCTGTGTTTCAGGGACTAAGGAGTTTTGAATTCTGTCCTTCTTCCCACTCTCAGCTCATTTTGGTGACCCCACATTATCCAATCTCTGACCTCTGTGTTCCTTTTTCCCTGACTATTCCCCCTGGGTTCAATGGGCTGTAGCCTCAAAAAAAGTAAATTAAATACAGCCTGTTTAAATGAAATACAGCCTGTTTAAATGAAATACAACCTGTTTGCTTCTGCTGCTCAGTCCTGCCCCAGCTCACTGCAGAATTGCCTGGAGTCTCTCTCCAAGTTGGACCTCACCTTTTGACATTCTACCAAAACTGCTCTTTCCCAGTTTTTACCAACTTTCCTCGCACAAATCCAGAACCAGTGCTGATAAATCCCCCTGATTTACATCAGCAGAGCTCAGTGCAGCCTTTATTTTCTCCTTAAAAATGTCTCCCACCTCACTCTGGTGTCTCTTCTGTCCCAGCCATTCAGCCTGAGAGAGTTCTCCTCCCTCCTCCTCTCTTTTGTGGGTTGGAATGTGTTATCTTTCATTTCCTTTGCCTTTTTTTTGTTGCTGTACCTTATCTGTGGTTGGTCTTACCCCCAGGTTGTCTTTTTTAGTCAGGTGGAACTCAGATTTGCTTTTCTGCTTCCAGCATGCCTTTGCCTGCCTGTATTAATGTCTAGCTTTGTTTTTCCTTTCATTTTTGATGGCTGGCTGTAAGATAACACTTTTCTAGCCAGGCACTCAGCTCTCTATTCCCAGTCAGCTTCAACAACAACATCCCATCCTGACTTGACATTCTGACCCATAAAATGGTTACTATATTTTGAATATT